ACGTCAGCAGAGTTGCACAATGCATTACATTTAATCATACAGAATTATCAATTATACGAATTTCATGAAGACATTCAGTTTATCAATCAAAAGGGATACGTGCACCCTAAAAGTAAAATATCATGTCTCAATCCTTTTCTGGATGAGGACAGTATCCTTAGAGTGGGAGGACGACTCAAAAACGCATGTATCAAGGACTCATCAAAGCACCCTATCATATTATCTAGCCACAGTCGTCTCACCGACTTAATCATCCATCAGGCTCACATGACAACATTGCATGGGGGCCCGCGTCTGACACTTGCATATATCAGAGATAAATATTGGATCATAAGCGGAATTCGTACTGTCAAGAGAAGGTTGAGATCCTGCGTTAAGTGTCAGCGCTTCAATCAATCAAAGTATAATCAAATCATGGCTGATCTCCCACAGCCTCGAGTCACCCCGTCACGTCCATTTACCCACACCGGTGTCGATTTTACGGGACACGTAGAGTTAAAAGCCAATAAGGGACGTGGAATCAAAACGGTTAAGGGGTATATAGCAGTATTCGTTTGCTTGTCCACCAAAGCTGTTCATCTGGAACTTGTTTCCGATCTGAGTACTCCAGCATTCTTAGCAGCCTTCCGAAGATTTTCAGCTCGTCGTGGTGCACCTAGTCATATGTATAGTGACAATGGAAGAAATTTCGTAGGCGCCAATCGCATCATTAAGAAGGAGTATCAAGAAATCTTAGCCAATATCAACACCGATCTATTTGATAACATCAGTCACATGAACGTAAGCTGGCATTTCAATGCTCCAGCGTGGCCAAGCGCAGGTGGTCTTTGGGAGGCAGCAGTCAAAAGCCTTAAATATCATTTAAAGCGGATCATTGGAGATCAAAAACTCACGTACGAGGAGTTTACTACTCTACTTTACCAAATAGAGGCGTGTCTCAACTCTAGACCACTTTGTCAACTGACTGAAAGCCCTGACGATGACTTTCTTTCGCCAGGACACTTTTTAGTTGGTGGCCCAATTCTATCCAGGCCACAGACAGATCCAGATCACATCAATCTCTCGACGCGATGGCAACTCGTTCAATCTATGAATAAACAGCTTTGGAAGCGGTGGTCAAGCGAATATCTTCAACAATTGCAGGCTAGATCAAAATGGCGTAAACCAAATAGAAATTTCAAAATTGGTGACGTAGTCCTTATCAAGGAAGAAAATCTACCACCTGGCAAGTGGGCATTAGGACGCATTCAAGATGTACATCCAGGAAAGGACAACTATGTTAGAGTGGTCAGTCTAAAAACAAAAGGTGATAACATTATCAAACGTCCTGTCAACAAACTCGTGTTATTACCTACCAACGAGGACACGGCACAAGATCAAGCTATCGATCAAGGAAATTCTTCCAACCCATCACCGCCATCATCATGTCAACAAAAAAAGAGTGAGCGTACTCAACGTTCTCGTAGAGGAATATCATTCAAGAGCCTATTCATTCATTCATTATTATTCATTTTCATGTTGCTATCCCCTGTTCACGCACAAAGTACCAACAATCATCAATCATATAATCTGACGTCATTAGATGAAAATCAAGCAATTTACTTCGACAGACTGTCGAACCTGCAAAACATCAAGGACTTGTATCGATTACTCAAGGTTTCAGCTAGGGTTATCTCAAATTACTTAATCATAGAAATCAAAATTCCGCTTTTAAGCAACGAAATGTTCGAGTTAAACAAAATCATCTCTATCTCTCAGAAACAAGGACAACACTACTATCAATTTCTTACATCAGTATCATTTATTGCGTACAATCTGCACAAGGATACAGCTTTTCTTCTATCAGAAGAAGATCTAAAGTCGTGCACTCATATTCCTAGCGATATATTATTGTGCTCATTAAACATGCCCATTTACGATCTAAAAATGAAGCAATCCATCTGTGACATTAAAATAATTAATCATGCTCACTTATGTAAGTCTGTAAAATCGTCGTGCGAAGAGCGGTGGATCAAGTTGCACAGGCCAAACACCTGGTTGTACACATGTTGTCCGGAATGCCAGGTTCGCATTATTTGCGCGAACGGAGTGACAATGACCCATCTTATAAACAATGGCATCATTACTCTAGGTCAGGGCTGCACATTGAAAGGGGATACCTTTAGTATTTATGCTCATAATAACTTTTTCAGTAATTTGAATATTCATCATCATATCGAAGTCCCAGAGGTGTCTATGCTTAATCGAATTATGAAAACATCAATACCCGACAATATTAGTATGGTCGAGGATCATCAGGTTATTTGGGATCAGTTAAGGGCTCAGATTGACGAGGTTAAGGAACAGTCATCAACAGATCTGAGCATTCATGATGTTCACCATTACACTGTGCTATACATCAGTGTAGCCGCGGTGATCATACTGGGTGGCGTCGTCGTGTACCTCATCAGGAGTCGTCGAGCTGCGGCTAGGGCAGCAGCGTCGCCGGCCCCCCAGGGCCAGGAGGCTGCTGGGGCGGGGCCGGCGACAGTCGCGCCGGTGGATCCGGCGCCAGTGGCGTCACATCAAGCGCGATCAGTGCTTAAGTGCAGTGAAGTGTTCACGGTCAGTGGTGTAGATAAGGCTACTTCGCCAGAATCTATGTGATCAGTGCGCTCCGTGACTAAATTGGTTAGGTCCTACGTTTTAGTGTATATTTTATTTTACATTACATTATAGCACCTAAGACTATCTTTGATTCATCACCTTGTTATCATACATCATCCTTTTATACAATTTAATTTTGATCACATTATCTATCTTCTTTGTCCTTTCAATCTTTTTCATCTCAATCGTGTTTTATCTATCTCTTTTGAGTGGGCAGGATGTACGGAACCGTACATTATTTTAACTACTCACGCCCGTGCGTTCTGCACACTCAGGTTTTGTGTATATTGCAAACAATGCAAAATGTAATTTGTGTCTTTTATAACGAATTATAAATCAATGTTAATCTAGCATTCAAATCGGGTGGTATTATTTCTATATCCTTATAGGATTAACCCCTCATCATATCGTATCATCAAAGGTGTAGGAATCTTCTACACATGTTATATTATATAGTATTTACACACGCCATAAAAATAATGTTAGTAATCTTGTTAACCTATAATGTATAATTATGTTTCTTTCTAGTAAAAATTTCTTAAATAAGTTTACTGAGCTAGGTACTGATATTTGATGAATCACACAATAAGTAGGTATATTCAAATGAGAAACTGTTACGATAACAAAGACATAGGATATAGGATTATCTCACAGATTAGGTAAGATTTGGATACATTGATTCATTCATGTGTCTCATGACAAACTAATGTGTGTACATTCACAAAGACAACTTATATCCTAATTTAAATATGCCAGCTATTACTAGACAAGTGTTCAGTTTTCTAATGGGATGAGTTAGTTAGCAAATGCTTTAGTAAATGCTGCTGAACAGTTGATGCGAGGGCTGGGCTAAGGCTGCTGTGCAATGTGCTATGAGAAATATAGATTGTATTGAATCTTTGTCTGTGTGAGATGTGTATGTTAATAAACACACCCAAAATACAAAAGAAAATGATAGCAAAGGATAAGGACCATAAACCAAAAAAAAAAAATTATTCAAAAATTAAAGGGAGCAAGCCTTGCCAAATAGCATATTCAAAGACTTCAGATAAAAAATAACACAACTGGTGAAACATGTACAGGTGCAAATATATAAAAATGATTTACAATTTCCCTTGAGCGTTACATAACACATAAATGACTATCCTGATGCTGATAATTTATTTTTATGCTTTGTTTGCTAAAAGATCCAAAAAATGTTCTTACAAAAGGGAAGAATCGGGAAATAAACTAATTTCCCGATTCTTTACACCATTCCGACATCCAACAATAAAATTATACCAAAAAACTCATCTGTGATAAATAGAAATATAAACATATTTATATATATAATAAGCACACCAGTATGTTTATGTGTAACATTAATAAAACAAAACCACAAACAGGAAATGAATCTGAAATCTATGTTCTTGTTATTATGGAACATTTTTGTTAAAACCAGATGTTACACACCCACCTACTTGTACTCTTGTAATCTATAATGACTCATACATTGAGCTGAAAGTTGTTGCAAAAACAACTTGTTTTAATCCCAACTGTAATGTAAACATGTATTATGTAAACATTAAAATTTTATTACTCTTGACCACTGACTCTGACTCTCTATAACTGTTTCAAACTTTTTTACGAATACATTAATATGTTTGCACACATATGCCAGTCTATTTTCTATCTTATCATTAAGAGAATAAGGTTGAAAATTTCAATTTTGCCTGTTTGGAAATCCAATTTTCAGAAAGTCTGTGTTATTTTAAAAAGCAAAGCAGAGGAAGTAATATTGTGTGTAAACTCCATTTTCAACCTTGAATTTAGTTACTAAGGCTTCTTCATAATGAGATTGTTATTGTCCTGTTTGGCTTCTTATCACCTTGAGAATCAGTTTAGGTAATTTAAGAGTCTTAAAAAAGTATGAACTTCAAAACAAACTAAAAAGGTTTTATTATGAATAAAATGCAAACAAATTAATTTTGAATGACTCACACTATTGTGATAACACAAATTGCGTAGGTACAAAATAAAAAAAAAAACAAAATAACTAAATTTTCTTTTAATACACCTTTTAGTTATACGTACAACAAATAAAACTAGTTTAATTATCAAAATTTATCTGTGCTCTTGCTTTCTGGCACAACAAGAGGGCCATGACTGCACTAGAAACTAAAATATAGAAGCTAGGCTACATTTGATTAGCAGGCTAATTAGAATGAGCTCGATAAACAAGATCTTTAACACCTTCGTTGGTAAATTAGCTAATGCAGTCTTATAGCCGGGAGTGACCCCGGCTATAACCTCAAATTGTACCGTTTAATCGGGAATTACAATGCTTAAATGTACGACAAACGATAATATCATACCTTGTTGGCGTCCAGCTGAGTTTTCAGCTCTTCATGCTGATTATTCCACACTAACCAGTGGATCGGATAGCGTCTCGCGACTTCCTCCGCAGTAAATGCCATAGTGCTAGCACATACAATTATCTTACACAAATAAATAGCACAATGTCTACTCTCTATACATATCACTATCTAATTACGCGTAGTCACAGTGAGCGCGTTAATTAATTGCAATTATAACATAAAAATAAGCTAATTTTACGCTCTCTACCGAAAACGATAAAATGTCAACGAATCAGGGTTGGTCGCTAATCGATTCTAACGCGAAATCTTACACACAAATGAGTACTCGTTTTTTAATCGATTAAATTAATTTTATATTTGTATTGTGCTCATATATTTTATCCGTAAGTTTATTACTTATAAAAATTTATCACTTCGAATGTTATTGCGATTGTCTTAATTTCGTGTGATTTTAACCACAAATTCATAATTTATTATTATCATATCGATGTATCCATCGAATCAAGTGAGACGTTTTGTAAAGGTAGCTAGGTTTTGAACAATATGCATACGATTTTCTTTGTTGTTAACTTTCTAAATATTTAGAGTAAATGTATTTGTCATACGTTCTCTTAAATTCAAAGAAAGCAGTTATTTCCAACCCATATTTTACTTCTCAAGACCACAGGGACAACGATTTTTAATGTCAGCCGCCATAAAACAGAAATATAAACACACATAATAATGTCAAAATCATCTGAAAAAGTCAGAATGATGACAGCTGACTTATTGTGATGTTATAAAAATCTTAACAAAAACACTGTATTTACGTAACAAATAACAAGTAAATATGTACTAATTAAAAACCAAGAAATAAAAATGAGTAAGGCACTGATATCGGTGACTTTAAGACACCTGGATCGAGCGGCTCCATCTTACTTTGCCCCTACAGTCATTGCCGCTAAAACTATAACTTCGAAAGCAACACAGAAAAAAATCGCAGTAAGTTTGAAAAAGTTAAATTGAGAATCCAAAAAATAGTAAAAACACATCTTTAATTATTACTTAAACAGTATTTATTATGACGGATTACGAATTTTAACAACAACGCAGTTGATTTTATCAATTTAAAACAATTTTTAGGAATGCTGCAATATTCTCAATATTCCAATAGACTCCAAGCAGGATGTAGTCCGACAGGCTTTTTTGGACCTTGCCAAGAAGTATCATCCAGACTCTGGGTCACCAGAAGCTGACATGGACAAGTTTGTGGCTGTAGAGAATGCATTCAGAGTCCTCAGTAAACATAACACTGGAGTCAGTAACAAGGAAGAAGTTGAGAAGATAGTGTTCGACATAAGGGTAGGTATTTAATAAAATAATTAAATTTACCTTCATTCTCCCAAGCAAGAATGAATAAGCACAACAAGTGAACAAGAAGATGTGCTATGCTACAGGAACCATTTCAAGTCTTCATTGAGGTACCTACCTTAATAATTAATTCATAAATCGTTACAGCACACAGCACCACAACACAGACAGTACCTAAGCTATGAAGGTTATGGACATGGAACCATATTCCAAAGACAGAAACAATACACTCAGGCACGAGCAATGAAGGCAGCCATCAATGTCATGGAACATCGCATTGAAAAAGCTGTAGCTTCTGACAAAACCCTCATGAAGAAAGGACAAGGATATAGTAAGAAACATGATATCAAAACAAAATATGGTTTTGATAGACTGGTTGAAGATTTAATACAAGAATCAATGTCTAAAGGTGAATTTGAAAATCTTAGTGGTAAAGGAAAGCCTTTGAAGAATCAAAACAATAATCCTTATGTTGATTTTACTACACACAAGTTGAATGAGGTAAGTTGTGTTTATTTATAGGGTCTTTAGTATATAATTACAGAATTTACACAACAAAAAGCTGTCAGCAGTAAAAAAATAGCTTTTTATAAAATGTTATACAAGGCTACCTCAAGGCATTAATTTAGGTCCACCCTTATTTTTTGATTCCAGGTACTTATAAACAATGGATTTACACCTGAATGGATAACTTTGGCCAAAGAAATAGACCAAGAGATAGACAGCTTAAAAGAAGAAATCCGTTCAGACAGAATGTACCTTGGTCCTTATCCATTGAAAGAAGAGGATGTTGCCAAATGGGAAAGAATATATGAAAGTAATAAAGAACTGGCGTCATCTATCAATATGAAGATAAACAAATATAATCTTATAGTTCCTTTGATGAACAAACAGAAGTTTCATGTAGAATTTGATAAAATATGTGATGAAATTCTGAAGAACGGACTTCATTCTGTTGCTAGGGTAGAAAAAGAGAACATTGATGTTGCGAAAAAAAATGAATACGCTAGTAATGATAGTGACGATTTATTCGGGATATTTTTCAAAGGTTTAGGTGATTTGATTATGTTTAAAGATAAAAATAAATCTTGATCACTCAATTTGATATTTAAGTGCAAAATAAACATACAAAAAATTTGTATATGACGGCGCATCCGTCAACGTTAGAGGTCAGGTTGATTTTTAAGCTGTTAAAAGTCAGCCTAGCGAAGCGTCATTGTCGATGGTTGTGATGGCGGCCATCTTGAGACGGTTGTTTTTCGAGTCGGCGCCCGCTCACCACGCTTACGACGAATCGCTTTGAATTTCATTCGTAATTAAATTTAATGTTTAAGTTAGTATCGCGTTGACTGGACTATTAATTTATCATTAGACTGTGTACTTCAATTATTAAACCCTGTGCTGATTAAATAACTGTGATTATAATAAGGACTTGTGATTTTGCCAACTACCTACATACATCACACAAGATGAGTTCTGATGAAGGCCATCCTCGCCCTACATCAGAAGTGGGATTGGATGGGGCTAGAATTGAGCAAGAAACACTAAAATCGGATGCAGAAAAATTGCTGAATAACATGGAAATGCTTTTATCTCGTGTTCTCGCAGCTCAGCCAACGCCAACTGTGAGTACTAACCAGGCAACACATTTCTTACCGTTTAATCCAGACGAACCAGACTGTGACATATCTGGTTGGTGCAATATTACCGAAGCAATCGTTCATAATAAGCGCTTAGAAGGAATAGACTTGAAATTGATAATGATAATCTTGTTATATACTCTAAACAACAATCTAATCTTTGTGTCGCGACATCAGATATCCCAGATTTTTCAAAAATTGACACGGATTTGCAGGAACGGGATAAAGACATGTTGATTTCCATATTGAGCAAATATGCGAATAACTTTATCGAGGGTATACCTACCAAGCGTGTGAAGACGGGAGTATGTGAAATTAAATTAGTAGATCCCCATAGAGTAGTGCAGCGATGTCCCCATAAAAGAGCACCTATAGAGAAACAAATAATTAGGGAACAGGTTCAAAAACTATTAGACGCAGGGGTGATTCGAGAGAGTACATCTCCATTTGCTAGTCCTATCGTTCTTGTGAAAAAGAAGGATAATTCCGATAGACTTTGTGTATTAAATTCAAATACCATACCTGAACATTATCCCTTACCTCGAATCGAGGAACAAATAGACCAGCTTACGGGTGCCAATTTCTTCTCTTCATTGGATATGGCTTCTGGCTTCCACCAGATCCCTATCCACCCTGAGTCAGTGGAGAAGACAGCTTTCGTGACAAACGAAGGGCAATACGAGTATCTCGCCATGCCGTTTGGTTTGCGAAATGCTCCTTCAGTTTTTCAGAGATGCATCACAAGGGCTCTTAGTCATTTACAAGATAAACCACTTATCTATATGGATGACGTGTTATGTCATTCTGCTAACATCTCCGAAGGACTGAAGCGCCTTGACCTCGTTTTAGGTGCGTTATCAGAAGCCGGGTTTACGTTCAATACAAAGAAATGTAAATTTATGAAACAACGGATTGACTACCTAGGATATTCTGTACAATCCGGTGAGATTAGGCCCAATTCACGGAAGATTCAGGCATTAGCAGATGCCCCGGAACCTAAATCTGCTACTAATGTTCGCCAATTTCTCGGTCTAGCCTCCTACTTTCGGAAATTTATTCCTGAGTTCACACGTATAGTCGGTCCACTATACCCTCTCACAAAACTTAAAGGACGAATTACCTGGACTACCGAACATGAAAAAATAAGGCGCAAAATTATAGGTATTCTCACGTCCGAACCGGTGCTAACTATATTCGACCCAGAACTTCCGGTGGAGCTACATACAGATGCTAGCTCAGAAGGATATGGAGCAATCCTTCTGCAAAAGAAAAATAATCTTCCACACGTTGTTGAGTATTATAGCCGCCGTACAGCAGACGCGGAATCTCGTTATCATTCATACGAGTTAGAAACTTTAGCGGTCGTCAGAGCTGTAGAGCATTTTCGCCATTATTTATATGGTAGGCGATTTGTTGTAGTTACCGACTGCAATTCACTCAAGGCGTCGAAATCAAAGAAAGACCTAACACCCCGCGTTTACCGATGGTGGGCTTATTTACAAGCTTACGATTTCGACATTGTGTACCGCGAAGGAAGTAAAATGGAACATGCTGACTACCTGTCCCGAAATCCACTGTCAGATTCTGCCGTTCCCATCACTCCAGTAAAGCCTAAGCCTAAAACTGTCAATTATGTTGAACTACATCAAGGCTGGCTGTCAGTTGAACAGAAACGCGACGCAGAAATTCAGGATCTTATCGCAAAACATAATAATAATAGCTTTCCCGAAACAGTAGGCCAAACGTATGACGTTAGAGATGGTATACTTTATAGGAAGATTACTCGTAACAAAGCGGTTTCATGGCTACCCGTAGTTCCACGGTCTCTAATTTGGACACTAATTAACCATGTCCACAACGAAATGCAACATTTAGGCAGGGACAAAACTCTAGACAAGCTGTATGAAAAGTATTGGTTTCCCGATATGTCTAAATGTGTACGAAAATTTATAGATTCGTGTATCATTTGTAAGGCATCGAAAGGTCCATCAGGTGCTCAGCCTGTTCAGCTTCATTCGATTCCAAAAGTATCCGTGCCTTGGCACACGATTCACATAGATTTTTCGGGGAAGCTGAGCGGGAAGAGTGACCGAAAAGAGTATTGCTCTGTGATAATCGATGCCTTTACTAAATACGTTTTACTCGAACATACTTTGTCAGTCGATTCCAAGAGTGCAATATATGCCGTACAAAAAGCGGTGTGTCTTTTTGGAGCCCCGAAAAGAATCATCGCAGATCAGGGCCGTTGCTACATAAGCTCAGATTTTAAGAGCTTTTGTCAAGAGCATAAAATAGACCTCCATTTCATAGCGACTGGTACGAGTAGAGCAAACGGCCAGGTTGAACGGGTGATGCGTACTCTTAAAAGCCTCCTTACTATCATTGAAAACGACCCTAACAAAGTGTGGCGTGACGAATTAGGTAACATCCAACTTGCTCTCAATAGTTCTAAATCTTCCGTTACCAAATACTCACCGTCAGAACTAATGTTTGGAATTCGTTCCAATTCTTTAGGAATGTGTAAGTTGAACGCCGATAATATAGATCATGAGGTTCGCTTAGATTTAGATTCGATAAGAACTGATGCATCAGCTAACATTTGCAAAGCTGCTGAATCTGATACCCTTCGGTTTAATCGTGGCCGGGCCACAATAAGACCTTTCTCTAAAGGAGACTTTGTATTTATTAAAAATTGTGAACGGAATAAAACGAAATTGGATAGGAAGTTTCGAGGCCCATATGTTATAGTAGAAGTACTTGAAAATGATCGCTATGAACTTAAAAGCTTAGATGGTTCTCAGAGAACTTATAAATACTCTCACGAGAATTTGCGCGCAGTGCCCCAGGGACATATCGGTTTGCTCGAAATAGCTACTAGTCTTTTAAATTGTGAAGAGGCCGAGACGGCGTCGGAAGATGAAGAAAATATAACTAACTCAAATCATGACAATGATAACTCTGACACCTTGACCGTATGCTCAAACACTGTTTCCGCCGATTCGAGGACGCTCACAGCAGGCTCAGACACTCTCAGTACATACTCAGATCCTGAGACTTGGGAAGTGTCGCACGAAGCTGAAATTCACACAGAACAGGATGATTCATAATCGTAGGTAAGTGGAGTGACCTGTAAGAATCTCTTTCCTGCCAAATAGTCAGACGAACTATGTCGTCCGAGTCAGTATTAGATTGACTTGTCTCTGTGCATTTGTTCTATGAGACGAAACATGTCGTCCGAGTCAGAACCCTTTAAGTTGGCTGACTTGTTCTGGATGTTTTGCAGATTGGTAAGACGAATATTGTCGTCCAGGTCACATCCACCAAAGGATTGACTCATGTAATAGTACCAATTGTGAACAGTTAACCTACATGCTGTTTAGTGACGAGGCTGTGTCATCCAGCTTAATTGTTTCGAGACACTCGCCTTAAGTCTTAAGTATCATAGCGCATTGTGATAATTCTAATTAGTCGTCCGTCAGGATGCCGAACGGACTGTGTACGACTGCAACTCATTGTTTCAGAGAATCGCCCGAGGACGGTCGAATGTCAGTCCGGCCGTGACGGCGCATCCGTCAACGTTAGAGGTCAGGTTGATTTTTAAGCTGTTAAAAGTCAGCCTAGCGAAGCGTCATTGTCGATGGTTGTGATGGCGGCCATCTTGAGACGGTTGTTTTTCGAGTCGGCGCCCGCTCACCACGCTTACGACGAATCGCTTTGAATTTCATTCGTAATTAAATTTAATGTTTAAGTTAGTATCGCGTTGACTGGACTATTAATTTATCATTAGACTGTGTACTTCAATTATTAAACCCTGTGCTGATTAAATAACTGTGATTATAATAAGGACTTGTGATTTTGCCAACTACCTACATACATCACACAAGATGAGTTCTGATGAAGGCCATCCTCGCCCTACATATAGTTTTGATATTGTTTTGTTTTATGATGTAAATTATCCCATTTTTATTTTCATTTGTTCAGTCTGATACTGTAGCTACATATCTGTGATAATATTTTATAGACATTTTAAAATAACAGGCAATAAAACACTGTAATATATACAAAAAAAGGTTTTTATTTCAAACACACTGTTAAACTTAACATACTTATATTTTAAATGGCATTTCAAAATCATGCGTTTTATTAAAAGTAATATCATAATATAGGATGTCCTTTTAACAATAACTTGAACTTCTGAACAATATTGTATGTTTTAAGCTGAGAACATACTACCAAACCTAGACTATAATAAAATTCCTCTCACAACCGTATTTTCTTCTCTCATAATCTTAACATCATTTAAAAGTGACTAATCAATGCTTTCTTTATTGTAGAAGTAGTGTCTCATCTCAAAAGTATGTTTCCTGCTTTAATAACATTGGCAGTGGACTAATTATTGCATTTTATATAAAATATCATCAATATATTGCTTTGTTTTTATTAAAATTTCAACTTTTTTTAAACATTCACAAACTAACAGCTTTATATATAATATACTTAACTAATAATGTGATAACTTTCTTTTATACAAAAATTCGAGGTTTTCCATATTTCATGATTTTGTGATAAAGTATTTTTTCATATAAAAATATTAATATCTAGACATAGGAATGTGAAGTGTATGTATATTACATACAAAAAATAACAAATATTTGGTCCCATAATATTGAGATTTCAATGTTCAAGTCTATAGTTTCATATATATTCGATTTATTTCATAATAGATACCTAAGGTTTTATTCTACACGATTTATTTTTTTATATATAATGTTGACGGGAGGCAATCTTTGGGTGAGAAAATATATCAACAATAGGCAATACCACGGAAAAGAAAACTTCTGTTCTGTGGGCAATACTATAGGAACTGGAGTAATCTAAAAATAAAAAGAAATTAAATCACTGAAAGGATATGGATAGGTTAAAGTTAGAAAAAGTTTTACCAGAATATAATATTATAACCTTGTCCGTTAAAAAAACAGGTTCGAAATTTTTTGTCAATCATTATGACGGATTATTTTGACTTATACATACAATCGTAAGAATGGAAGAGACGAATAGTTTGGCTAATATATACACACATTTTTTCAGTACTTTTGTAGTGTAATTATAACAAGAGATTTCACATGAACAAGAATAAGAAGTGCCTCCCATCAACCTAAAATGCAGTGACTGTCTCAAGATATGGTCTTAGGACTCTTTACCCTAAGAGTACCACATGAGGGTGCCCTGATGGTTGAGCCGCACCCTGCCGGTGGCGACGAGGCGCAGGGCGCGCGGGTATGCGCGGTGCTCCGCTTCATGGATGCGTTCAGTCAGAGATTCTACCGTGTCCTTCTGCAGAACTGGTACTCTTTCTTGCAGGATAATCGGGCCGGTGTCCATGCCCTCCTGAACAGGTGATAATTGAGATTTTAAGAGAAATGTATAAGAAGGTAATGGATACTACATTTGTCTAGCATTAGGATCTGGATATAGAATAAATTCGGTAAGATGCAGTGACAATGATGGATCTCAATACAATTCAACAAAGTTAAACTCCAAAAATAGACTAAATTGTGCAAGAACAAAAAGAATAGTGAAACTGCTTGAAAAAGAATAACCATGGAGTTTTATACTGGCTCTTTTTCATAGGAATTAAAAAATGTACTTACAAATTTTTTAAACTTTTGATATTTATTTTTGTTCGGCGTTTAAAAGTGCCTATTGTAGTCTATTTGAAAAATTGACTTGACTTGAAATTAAATTGAAATAATTTTAAAAATCATCTTGTGCTTTCATCCAAATAAGTTTGTAACGAATACTTACATCAACAAAGTGCACGGTGCAGCCGCTCTCCTTGTCGCCGGCGTCGAGGCACTGCTTCTGCGCGTTGAGGCCCGGGTGCCGGGGGAGCAGAGACGGGTGGATGTTCAGGAGACGGCCGTGCCATCTATACAGACATAACTTCTATTAGGTATACACAGAAATATATTTAAAGACAGCAAAATTCTTATATCTTGGCTACATTCGTGGTCTAATCGGAACTCTTTTCCTATGGGATCAAAATAAGGTGGCAGTAAGTTTTTTATTGGGTTTCATTTGGTATAAGTAGGTACATATAGGGCCTCCCCACTACCGACATGTTATGAGAAATAAGAAGATTTTTTTTATGTGATAGGTCGGCAAACTAGCAGACGGATTACCTGATGGTAATCAATCAGCGCCGCCCATGGACACCCGCAACAACAGAGGAGTTATGAGTGCGTTGTCGACCTTTTGGGGATTAGAGATTTGGGGAGGAGAAGGATTGGGCCTCCGGTAATTAAACACAACGCTATGGTTGTTTCACGCCGGTTTTCTGTGAGGCCATGGTATCACTCCAGTCGAGCCGACCCATTCGTGCCGGAGCATGGCTCTCCCACACACAATAAATACAGTTACAAAACAACAACATATAACAAAGATTCTTTAAACAGAAATTACTTTAATTAAATCAACTTACTTCTTAACGAACTCTCCGGACAGGATCCTCATGTAGCCGGCGAGGCACACGATGTCTACCTTGTGAGCCTCGAGAGCTTCTGACACGGCGCGGTCAAACTCTTCCCGGGATGCGTAGTCTTTGTGGTTGAATACCTATCAAACGAAAACCATATAATTAATTAATTATTTAGACATGGGCAAAGATGACAGTCGAGATTTTGTAGCGACATCTGTTGCACAACAAGAACAACGGCACCAATCACGTGCAAGTTTCTACATCGCGCTATAAGAGTTTTCAACACAATTTAGCACTGATACAGATATCCCGAAAATAACAGTCGGGCAGTAGCCCACCAAACATAACACCCGTCTGGTCGGAGGATCCTCCCTTTTCAATGGAGGATGAGGAACATTCCAACCTGTTCTCTCATACCTCTAAATTTTTTTCATCCACGTTACTGTCAACAGCGAACTAAAACTACTAATAGGGTCTTCCTACATACATAATTATGTGTTGATGTTGCAGCGGTTCATACAAAAAAATGGGTACACTTCTCAGTCAAAAATAAATTGAACTTTTTAATGCAATAAATACGTTTTTATTTCATCAAACATCAAGAAAAAACCAGTGATATCGCACCTATTCTCTTACTATTTTGTCTCCAATAACCACGATTGGAATATTTGGAATGTTAATTCAAAAATAACTAAACTTTGATCTATGAATGGATTAAGAAAAAATGTCCACATTTTATGTAATAAAGACATAACATATTTTATGATTTATTATTTAACTAATTTTTTGTTTGTTGTGTGCGATTTTGTTGTTTTTAACTATTGTAAAAACTCCAAATAAGTTATTGAACAAAAATGTCAAGTATCCTAAGGCATCCGCTGCTCAATTCTTAAACCTTTAATCAATAAAATAAAAATAATCTTACCAAAGACGGAACCCCAGCTTTCTCAGCGCGTTGCAATGCGTACGCGTCCTTCTTGTTGCTGACGACGAGACATATGTCCGCACACATGCACTGCGCCGCCTCGCGGGTCGTGTCCAGTAGAGCTTGCAAGTTGCTACCATTGCCTGATACTAGTACTGCTACCTGAAAAGGAAATTCAATTTAGTAGAAGACATTTTTCGTGGTAGCACGAAAGGCTTCACGTCAAGGATGAGGGTTCTAAACCTAGTACCAATGTGACTTTCCGAGTTATTTGTACTTTCTATGATTGTTTGGATACCACTGACATACGGCGAAGGAAAACATCGTAAATACGTTAAAATTGTTGACGATTGATGTGTTTGGAGTTCAATATTTGAGAAGATTTTTGGCCTATTTTCTTGACTTCTGTAGGACGTGGTGAGAAATAAATAATAATATTAAAATAACATTATTGAAAAACTATTTTGTAGATACCGGAACAAATTCTAAATTGTTTTATGTCAGAAGTGTGTCAGCTGTACATGGTCAGTAGGTTACGAAATGACAAGGTGTGACTTGCGCAATCTAGCGCAATTACCTGCGCAAACTGGTGCAAAAACATTAAGCAAATATAATCGGAAATAACATGTAATTGGAAACTATTTCTTTAAGCACAAGCTATATAGTATAGGTTATCTGTATAACTTACTTTCTTCTTAGGTAAGAGCGGCATTCTTCTCGTGAAGTCCATGGCTGAGGCGAAATTGTCTACAACTACTCGGGCGCCACCTGCTGGACGCTTCTGTATACTTCCGATTACCATCGCGCCGAAAGCACGTGTTGTGTTCATTACCTGAAAGAAATAAAGATGATTTTATTATTGTATACATAATGACTGTGTGAGTGACTGATTGACACCCGGTTTCTGAAAGGCTTGTCAACGCTAAAATTAACTAATCTCCTGTTAAATCTCTTGTCAAGTCATCTGTTTGGTTGTTGATAATTCAGTCAACCAATCAGATGACTTGACAAGAGATTAAATTGATTTTAACATTGATCGGCCTTTCGGAAACCGGGTGTGAGTCTCTTAATAGGAATTTACTAATTGCGAACCCAGCAAAATTATAACCATAAAGTTCTTCAACAAAATAACATTTTTATAGAAGAATTAGGATGATTTTTTTGCATTTGTGGCTTGAGCTAAAGTTAGGTTGTTTACCTAATATTTCTATGAACTCAGTTTTTATTATGCGACTATTATCTCAGTTTCAGTTATTGCAAACTTCGTTACGCAACCCACCTCAGCCTGGTCTTCAGGGGACACGATCAGCACCATACCGATACCGCAGTTGAAGGTCCTTAGCATCTCCTCGTCCTGGACCGCACCAGCGTCCGCGATCCATGAGAACACCTGTATGGAGAGAAGAAGAAATAAATAATAAGCATAGAAACTACGACTTTTATTTGAAAAAAAATCTGACCTATATGCAGTTTTCAAAAATTGCGAATCAAGCCTTAAATATTGCAATTCATGTAGCTAGTCAATTTTTTATTTTATTCATTGTCCACATTTCTTGAGTTTCGGTTCTTCGCATCCAACTACTTCCTTGTGGATATCGCCACAGGCGGAGTCGCATGTGCAATGCAATAATAAACCACGACCCAGACTCGGAATAGGGGAAGGAACGGGGCTGGAGCGATGACTTTCCAGCTCGAGAAAAAAAAATATCACCTTTGTTTTGCCGTGTGAGTCAGGTTTTTTGAGGTCCAAATCTGGTTTCCCTCCTTATATCTTAATAAGGTATGGTACGTACGGGATGCACGTGCCACCAGTGCGCGTTGAGGCGCGCCCGCACGGCGGCGGGGATGACGCGCGGGATGTTCTCGAGCAGGCCGCCGCCCGTTATGTGGTAAGTAAGGTATGGTACGTACGGGATGCACGTGCCACCAGTGCGCGTTGAGGCGCGCCCGCACGGCGGCGGGGATGACGCGCGGGATGTTCTCGAGCAGGCCGCCGCCCGTTATGTGGTAAGTAAGGTATGGTACGTACGGGATGCACGTGCCACCAGTGCGCGTTGAGGCGCGCCCGCACGGCGGCGGGGATGACGCGCGGGATGTTCTCGAGCAGGCCGCCGCCCGTTATGTGGTAAGTAAGGTATGGTACGTACGGGATGCACGTGCCACCAGTGCGCGTTGAGGCGCGCCCGCACGGCGGCGGGGATGACGCGCGGGATGTTCTCGAGCAGGCCGCCGCCCGTTATGTGGTAAGTAAGGTATGGTACGTACGGGATGCACGTGCCACCAGTGCGCGTTGAGGCGCGCCCGCACGGCGGCGGGGATGACGCGCGGGATGTTCTCGAGCAGGCCGCCGCCCGTTATGTGGTAAGTAAGGTATGGTACGTACGGGATGCACGTGCCACCAGTGCGCGTTGAGGCGCGCCCGCACGGCGGCGGGGATGACGCGCGGGATGTTCTCGAGCAGGCCGCCGCCCGTTATGTGGTAAGTAAGGTATGGTACGTACGGGATGCACGTGCCACCAGTGCGCGTTGAGGCGCGCCCGCACGGCGGCGGGGATGACGCGCGGGATGTTCTCGAGCAGGCCGCCGCCCGTTATGTGCGCGAGCGCCTTGACCCGGCCGCTGCGCAGCGCGCCCATCACGCTGCGCACGTAGATGCGCGTCGGCTTTATCAGCTCCTCGCCTGCACGATAAAAAAGAAAATGAGTTTTAGCACCTGACCTGCCACGAAAAAAAAAAGCATTTTTCCAATGTAATCAGTATGTGTGAAATGGATCGGCTCGAATGGAGAGATAAATGACGGCTGTTCGCCGTGCGAATGAAATTACCAGAGGCCCAGGCCCCCTTATTCTCCCCCAATCCCTAAACTTCTGAAATCCAAATCCGCAAAAGGCTAGCAACGCACTCGTAACTCCTCGGCTGTCCAAGGGTGGCGCCGATTGCTTACCATCAGGTAATAATTCATCTTATCATTTGCCGCTGACAACACATAAAAAAATGCAAAAAGACCCCAAATGAAGTTTCTACTTACCCAAAGTCAGTCCTTCTTTGCTGAAGGGAGCTTTGTCATTGAGCGTAAGGCCGGACTTCTTCATCAGCTTGTGGATCAAACTGAAACCATTGCTGTGGACTCCATTCGATGGCAGACCAATGATTATATCTCCCACCTAATAACAAGCAAAGATTTTTTATTCAATTACTGCTTATTTCGAGAGTTTCATAATCACACACACTATAGTTGATATTCAGCCGGGGTCGCGGGGTAAGCGCAAAGGCACTGCGGCCTCGGCCTAGAGCAGGAGAAGGAACGATGGGTTTTTAATCAATAAGAGTCTGACACTCCTGTAAATCTCTGACGAGATCGTTTGCATATGTATAACTATTGGACATTCGTAATTTAACATTTTCCGACAGTCTACTTCTCAACACAAATGTTATACATCTGCAAACGATCTTGTCAGAGATTTTCATTCTACACCTCACTCCCTCCCACTCCACCCAAGACGTGGGGAAGTCATTTGATGATTGACTCTCATTCAGATTCGTTTGATAAGGAAATTGTAAAAAACGGAATAATTTTGGATTCGTCATGTCTGTCTGTCAGTCTTTCTGAAGCCGTTATGGGCGAGTCTGATTCGTACTTGGCCGATTTGGTTTAATACTGTGGTAACTTAAAAACCAAATAATCATAGTACCTTACCAAATATAATTAGAATTTTAAACTTACCGCGATATCGTTGATCTTGGGCAATATTTGGGACCTCTCTACGACTCCAAGTGCGAACCCGGCGATGTCATAAACTCCTGGCTCGTACATACCGGGCATTTCAGCCGTCTCACCACCTGAACAAAATATAATAATCACCAAATTTTCATAAGAAAATGTACCCTAAAAACAATAAAATTTAACTAGTTACTACTATTGGTCGCAGGGCGATGTTTTAAGGATGTTTTAAGTGAAAAAAATTTTGAAAATCCGACCAGCGGTTTCAAAAATTACCCCCTACAAAACGTACCAACAAAATTTTACTTATATATACAGGGTGTAAAAAGACACTTAACGAAGCCGTTAACTACGCATACTGCAGTTCTAACTAAGTAGCTTTACGCTAAAATTATCACTGGGAAACGACTTTTATTTTTAGGTATCAAAAAAAAATATTGCGCGCAATGTAAAGCAAACGGGCTTCGTGTCATTGTGTGCGTAAGTTCACAGCTTAGCATTAAAACGCTGTGATAAGTACGTAGGTCGACGTTTTACTTCGCAACAACAAAACAATTATGTAAAATAAAAATCCTACTGAGATGCACGATGTTTTTTGTGCGGGTCTGCATTTATTTATTACGTACATTACAGTTCGTAAATTCAAATGGGTAATTTATTTAGAAAAATAGAAAATTCTGGTAATGTTTGTTTGGAAAAAAGTTTTGTAATAATACTTAGAATTCGATTGCGCAAAAAAATATTCAAAATTTGTCTTTGACTTTCAATATGTCGAGAACACGTGGAGTCCCAGCTATGGTCTAAAAGAAAAAAATGATCCAAATAATGTGTAGAATACGTGGCTTTCGGCTTCTTTAAGTGTCTTTTTACACCCTGTATATGATAATTTTTTCGTGTGTTCTTATGTCTTAACATTAAAGAAGATAATATAACTCTTTTGCGCTTAATTCGCGGTTTAAATAAATTATGCTATGTATCTAAGGATAATTTTCAAGGACTTAAAACTACAAGTAATTAATGAAATCATAAGCAAAAAACAATAATGCCTTACCAATTAAAGCGGCGGAAGACTGGCGGCATCCCTCAGCGACTCCAGAAACAACATTCCTCGCTACATTCACATCCAATGACCCACAGGCGAAGTAATCCAAAAACGTAAGTGGCGTCGCCCCGTTACAAAGAATATCGTTCACACACATGGCGACCAGGTCGATACCGATTGTACTGTGCTGGTTAATCTTCTGTGCTATCTTCAGCTTGGTACCAACTCCATCAGCTGCTAGTACTAGGACGGGATCCTGCGCCAACGGAAGAAGGGATTTTAAATATTGTTAGGTGAATTATTACGAATAAGAATCAATATTGCATTTGTACAATACGGTTGTTTCCAACTAGTCAAATTCAATACTTTTATCCAAATGTCAAAAACATTACTTTTCTATGAAAATTGTATGAAACATTGAATTATGACGTCATAGCATTTTTGCGTCAAATAGCTTACTTATTTTTAAAAAATTAGCTTAAAAATATCTAAAACTGAGTGTATCGATCGATCGATGAATAAAAGTATAGTTATTTTTCAATATTTTATCGTATTAAAACGTCGAATTAATTTATTTTTGACCTAGGAAACTACCCAATTGATTTGTGCACATTTTTTCAATTACGATATCATAAACAGTGTTCTTTATGAACTCCAAAACATTAAATTATTGGACAAAATCTCCGAAATGAAATATTGGCCCCTGAAAGGTTTGCGAAATAAGATATCACGCCCCGGTTCGGAGCAGAAGAAGGAACAGGGTGATTTTTTGTCAGAAAGAGTCTAAAACTCCTTTCCGCACAATCTAGGACGGGAGAAGGCATTTGATGAAAAGGTATAAAGACTGTTTACCTTGTATTCTTCTTCAACGGCCTTCAATTGGAAGCAACCTCCAAAACCTCCGAGTCCACCCAGAACTCCTGAACGTGATGTAGATCTGCACAAAAATGACCTCAATAAGTATAAATGCTTTCCCAAATGTTTCATGTGAGAGAGAGAAAGGAGAGAGCAGATATACTACACATGTTATAGAAATCGGTCATAAACACACATGTAAAAATGCAATAATTATAATAATAAAACACACAAAATCAACAAAATAAATTTAGTAGAATCAAAATCGTCAATTTTCAATAAAAAAGGGTTAAGTTGAGGGTAGGGTATTTCTTAGTAAAATAAGTCAGAAATGATGAGTACTCCACGCCCTTAACGGATCTAGCACGACTTTTCCTGTCACCCTGTATAGGTTGTTTCTATGAGAGAACAAGACCAGAAAGAAGTCACACATACCTGGCCAGAGGCTTGATAAGAGACACAAGAGAGTCTCCAGCCTCAATGTCCACTCCACTGTCCTTGTAGGAGAGTGACTTTTGAGGAGACGCCCTATCTCCAACCACGTATGGAGATGTGAGTGGATGCATCGCTTCTTTGAAGTTCTCCACGACTACTTGGTGTCCTCCTGGTGGAATTATTTATAGGTCTTAATTGTAAGGTAATCGTGATATTTGAACATAGTATTTGAGAGCCATTCGTGTAAGGGAGTCATCCTTCTTTCGCTACAAATAGCATGGTCCGACACTAGTCATAATACAAATGCCACAGCGAGTCTAGTGAATTTGATGCAGATTGGATTCCTTTTCACAACAATACCGATTTCCCGATTTTAATCCTTACTATCTTATATACAAATCTCAAAATCCCACATACCTTCCTTGCCCATAGCCTCGACGACACCTACAATGGCTATCTCATCGTCCACACAGTCCAGTAGCTCCTTCACGCAGACTGGGTCCACGATCACAACCATACCCACACCACAGTTGAATGTACGGAGCATCTCGAAGTCTGATACCACTCCTGGAGAAGAAAACTTTATTTTAGAGGACATAAGGTACAATTTGGAATGGGCTTTTCGATAAGAAAGAATTTATTTGAAGTCATCATCATCATCAGCCTATAAGGGCCTGCTGAGCAAAACTCCATATATGTAGAGGTTTTGAGCATTAATCACCACGCTTGCTCAAGGCGGATTGGCGATATCAAACTTATAATTAGAAATCAAAAGTTCAGGTTTTCTCAAAATGTTTTCCTCCGCCGTATGTGAGTGGTGTCTAAATACACTTAGAAAGTAAGACATATTGGTACTAGCCAGGTTTTGAACCCGCACCCGCATAAAAAGGGGGCGCGATAACCTCCGGGCAACCATGACCATTATCTAAATCTATATTTGAAGTATAAAGCCTAAAATTTTATTATTAAATGGGTCATGGGATATGAACAATAAGGAGCCACCTAAATATTTTAGCTGAAAGTAATATTTATCCTTGATATTGATTTATTTTTCCCAATTACATCAATTAACTTTGTTAATATCTATTTGTCCTATTAGAATGACCTTATCATGACCAAAACATCACCACGTTGATAAACTAAAATACACCTAAACTACCTAACAAAAAGATCCAAAATCCAACACATACCTTTAGCTTGCAACCATCCAAAAACAGGCTTAATATTGAACTTGGTAGCGTCCAACTTGACCTTTATGCCAGGAGGTAGGATCCTGGGAATGTTCTCTAGTAGGCCTCCACCAGTGATATGGGCCAGGCCTTTGATGAGCTGCTTCTTAATGGCAGGTAATAAAGCCTTTACGTAGATACCAGTGGGGACGAGGAACTCTTCTCCGTAACTCTTGTTTGTGGTGCTGAAGGCAGCTGGTTCATTGTATCTGGAAGGGGAATTTTGTTTTAAGTTACGTTCGGTATGGAGCCTTCCTGTGAACTGATGGTAAGCAGTCAGCTAAATGCAAACTCTAGTGGAGTTACCATTTTTGTAATTATCTTTTAATTTACATCTATTTGACAAATGTTGGGAGGTTTCTCCAAAATAGGCAATTTGTGAATGTGCGTTTTTTTACATGTGGCAATAAAAATCTATCTATTTATCACTAAATAGTATAAAATAAAGTGCATGTGTATGCATATAAATTAACCAATATATCAACCGAAAACATCCTCAATTCCTCACCTATGTCCAGTTTCCATCATGATCTTCTGTACCAGACTGTATCCGTTACTATGCACGCCGGTAGATGGCAGGGCGAGCACGACGTCCCCGGGACGGATCTCCTTGGAGCGCGGTAGTTGCTTGAGGTTGTCTACCACGCCGACTGCAAACCCGGCCAGGTCGTACTTACCTATCTCGTACATCGAAGGCATTTCTGCTGTCTCACCACCTAAGGGAGAAAGATAATTTTACATTTTCCCTTTGAAAAAATTGTGAAGTCGAAATTATTTATTACTAGCTACCCCCGCGCGGTTTCAAGTGTAGGGTGATGTTTTATAGCCAATAGCCTTCTTCGATAAACGGAGTATTCAACTTGTAGAAATTAGCTTAGCACTAATTTCTGAGTTGGTTGATTTGAATGGTTTTATCGGACTTGTGAATGGTTTTGTTGTTGGTCTACTATTACTGGTTTAATAATATTCTAAAATATAGTTTTAAGATTATATTGAATACTACAGAACTAAGAAATTGTAAATCTAAGTTAAATTAGCACTAAGATGGTTTGATTAGAGATACGCGATTGGTACTCGAACACGCACTAAATCACGTTAGTTGCAATACATGCATTTATGGAAATACTGCGGGCAAAAGTGCTGAGCTGTTCGGTTGAAAATATTGTACCGAACACAACTAAAAAAAATATCCATTTTGAAGAAGTAGTTCTAAGATAAGCATGTTCAAGCAAAGAAACAAATTCTTTAGCTTTAAAATATTATTACTTTTTCACATATATCAAAAGTTCAAAAAAATACTAAATGAATTCAATATTCAATATTCAATTATTAAACAACAAAACTCAACTGTTGACTTAAAATTTGATGCCCCAAAATCAATAACCAAATACCTCGATGACACGGACATGGTAAAAAAAATAAAATACAATAATATCCTTCCCCTCTCCTCCCCCGATCCCTTCCCAATCCCTGAATCTCAAAAACCCTAATTCCTAAAAGGTCGGCAACGCACTCGTAACTCCTCTGTTGCGGGTGTCCATGGGCGGCGCTGATTGCTTACCATCAGGTTATCAGTCTGCTCGTTTGCCGACCTATTACATAAAAAAAACAATATCAGATAAAATAATTCAGCTTACCCAACAAAGCGCACCCAGACAACATACAAGCGTCGGCGATGCCCTTCACAATGGTAGTAGCGACATCAACTTGCAGCCTGCCACACGCCATGTAGTCTAAGAACGCGAATGGCTCTGCGCCGGCGCATAGAATGTCGTTCACGCACATAGCGACCAAATCTTGGCCTAACGTGTCGTATTTCTGCATTAGTTCTGCGATCTGCAATTAATTTGGATATTATAACAAGGTTTATTTGACCTAAAGCCAATAATATTACGTTCAGAATATTTATTGTCTCAGTATTATTATTGGCTAATATTACATCAAAGATATACGATTTTAAACCTTATTTCATCTAAGTGAAAAGGATATAAATCCTTTTCACTATATACGTATATCTTTGATGTAGCTATTGAATACAGTTACATAAAAGGTGTTACAAAATGTCAATAAGTTCAGTATTCAGTCATAAGATAATGATGTTCCTTATATCTTCGGTTATATCTATACATAACATTACCTCGGAAACTCATATTGTTAAAATTCTAAATCATTTTTTTTTTTAATTATGTCAATGTTTACTAAATCTTCTATGGGTTAAGTTATTAAGTAAACCACCAATTAAGTTCACCAAATTAGCTTGTTTTCTTATGAGGAAAAAGATAAAGAAGTATTGACGAAAAGTAGTGATCTCAACCTTAACCTTTAAAATTTGGCTTCATTCAAATAGCCACTAAACAAACTTTTAAGAACAACGACGGTATATAACACCAATGTAACTTATACCTGATACTTAAATTCTCACCTTAAGCTTAGTTCCAACACCATCAGTGCCTTGGACCAGCACGGGGTCCTTCAAGCTAGGGTCCATGGCCGATAGTTGGAACAGGCCGCTGTAGCAGCCCAGTCTGCCAAGAACCCCCCGTCGGTGGGTGGCAGTCGCGATGGGCTCTATCTGACGAACTAGAGTTGCCGCAGCGTCTATGTCCACGCCACTTTGTAGATAGGACAGTCCGTTGATTCTGAGTAAGGAGTTTTGGGATGTTATTTTATTTAGTTTTGGGTTTTTCATTTATTTATTAATAAGTATAATCTACTAGTCATATTAATATCCGACTAATATTTTAAATGTGAAAGTTTGTGAGAATGTATGGATGTATGTTTGTTATTATTTTACCCAAAAACGGCTGTACCGATTTGATTGAAATTTGGTATGTAGATACACACTGGATTAACACATTAGCTGATTTTTGTCAATATACCACGCTGGCGAAGCCGCGGGCGGAAGCTAGTCCACAATACATTTGGCCTACAAATGTAATATTATGGACTAATAAAACTACATTTTACACTTCAAAATTGTGTAAAAAAAATCCATATGGAGCCGGCATTTCTTATCTGACTTCTCCGAGAAGATATGCCGAAACAAACACAGTGGTCAGCCTCTTGAAAGAAAGAAAGATAAGTAGGCAATTTATTTATATCCTTCTAATAGAACAATAAAAAAATATTACACTACGCATTTTTAATTTTCTTATGCAAGCTAATTTTTTTATTGAGATCATTAAGAAGGTCCAATGTTTTACCACTCATTTATGAGTAGTTAGGACTTCTATTAGTCATGGTTTGTTCTTAATTCGTATGAAGTCACTTGAATTATCCCTATGGCCAAGTCCAATATAATGTTTTTTTCAATATGGATAGAATGAAAAAATGGTTTAAATATACTTCATGCAGTATTATTTACTTTTCAATTATATTAATACTTTTTAAAACATTGGTTTATCAACTAAAACATCAAACGAAAACGCAACCATCAGCTAATCAGCTAAGTATAAATAAAACAATTTTGTTGAGGCAAGTATGTCAATCTCTCCCATGAGTACTACAATGAAAGAATGAATTGATTTTTGTTTTTAAATAGGCCATAAAACTGAATTTTATAAGTCAACATTGCAAGCCAACAAGCTGGCATTTCCTATCTAACTACTATGAGGAGAAATGCCGAAACAAGCTTTCAGTCCAGATATGAAATTATTTACATGTATAGATGGTTAATTTAAATAAATACATTCGAAATGTATTCCCATGAGAAATATGTGTGTTTGTATATGAATTTAATTTTTTAAACATTCTTGTTACTTTTAGGGTTCAACAAGCATGCGATGCAAAAAGGACGAAAAAACAAAACAAGCAACATACAACGATACATTTTTATTGCAAAAAAGAAAAAAGTAACAATACAAAAATAAAAAAACAACAATAAAAAAATACGCTTTACGTAAACGATCCTTACCCGAAACATTCCAATAAAATGCGAGCTAAGATAAACGCAGCATTGGATTAATTAATCAGAAGAAAAAAACGTTAATCAGAAATGCAATTAATTAATCATTAATGTAATTAATCTGGAATGTAATTATATGACGCGTTCTTTGTCGGACGCATACATGCTGAAACAAAATAGATTACATTTTTATACGCATCTTTGAACACATGCGATGGTTTATGCTTTAGTAAAATGTATGTGGTTGAAGAGTTAATTAAGAATGAAATTACTTACAGTTTAACAAATGTGTGAGTGAATGGGCACTTTGAAAAGGTAACCACGATAAGGTTTTAAGTTTAAAATCAAAATGCTTGATAAGACCCCAAAAAATATGTTTTTAATTAATAAAGGCTTTCGAACTTGAATTTGTTTAAGGAAACCATATGCTTGAATTGATATTTGAAGTTTGACTATGACGCACTAAAACACATTACAGGGGGTCTAGTTCTGGCGAATGCAAAGCTCTTGAAACCAGGACATGCATTTGGTAGATTATAAAACAAATTACTCCTAAAGCTGTAACAAGTTCATCTTTATTTGGCAAATTCAAGAACGACAACCCTAATCAACAAGCAATAAAACTAGTCTAAAGTTATGCATACTTGGTGAAGGCTCGGTGTGCGATGTCTTTCCGGTAATGCGCGCCGGGAAAGTCGACCTGCGCGGCAGCGGCGGTGGCGGCGGCCGCGGCGGCGCGCAGGGACGCGGCGCGAGCGCACACTAGGAGGACGCGCCCTCCCCATGTCACTAGTGAACCGTTTGCCCCACGAGCCACACCGCTGTGGAATACCACTAGCCCCGGAGTACATTGGACCTGGGTTAGACCTGTCAACAAACGCCATACACTTATATTATGTTTTTTTTGCTAATTTTTCTCCTTATTTTTTTTAATATTTGCTCATTTTTCTCCTGAAAGTGAGATCCTCACTTGCAATTTAGAGAAAAAGGTGACACTAAACAAGTTTGTTATGCAATTTAAGATTTTGTTCGGCAAAATATTTTATTTGTTGCACTAGACAATCGAATCGAAATCATACATCTATTATTTTCATGATCATAGAATGGGTAGCAATTAATATGGCAAAGTGGCTATTTTAAACCATACACTTCATAATAACTGTTCCGTAAAATTAATGAACACAAGTGTAACTTACCGCTGATAACGCAGCCCTTGGTAGATGTCTCAGGGTATCCCTTGGACGCGATGACGACACCGACGGCAGACAGCTTGGTGTTCCATGTCACTTGGAGCTGACGTAAGTTGCCCTCCACACAGGCCTACACATATTACATAGCGTTTTAAAGACTTGGTAAGAAGTAGTATTTTGGATCCGCATAACAATTTGTTATGCTATGCCTAATCATTTTATTTGCCTATAAGTTGAGGATATGAATAGAAATAAATAGCATTTAAGCAATAATATCACAATACTTTTTCCATAAGGGACTAACCGACGATTTTTATTTAAACTCAAGTTACTCGACGTCAGGATGTGTATTGGTAATTATATTGATATGGGATATATGATATTGGGTATTGTGTATTTATCATTAAATTCAGGCGATACCTATTAACGTTTTTTTGAACTTAAATCTCTTGTTTGTTTGGAAATCTACGCCATAGACGCTTTTATAGAAGAAACCACGTGTCTTACCTTAAAGACCTTGTAAAGGTCTGTCTCCAGTAACGTCATTAGCACTTGCGTCTCTGGGTCTCCGAACCTGCAGTTGAACTCCAAGGTCATTGGCCCTGACTTGGTCACCATCATGCCGGCGTATAGGACACCTATAAGAAAATTCATTTTTTTATATTTTTATAAAAGCTTTCGCATAAGTTTTAGCTCAGGACTGGCTTCTAATTAGGAGAAAAAAGTTCATCAGAAATGTAATTAATCAATCAAATTAATCATTAATGTATTTAATCAAGCAAGTTAATCTGTAATTTAACGATTTGGTCACCATCTTGCAGGGTGTCTATAGGATTCGTATGAACAAATGCAATTAATGTGATAATCAAATAGATATCTATGATTAAGTAATAATGTTCAGTTGTCAACATAACGATTAGAGAAAGATTTTTTTAAATACATTTTTTATTAAATACTAGCTTTTGAATCTGTACGCGTGGAATAGTGACTGATGTCCTTTCTCGGGTTCCAAACTATGTCTGTACCAAATTTCACATAAATCGGTTCAGTTTAGGCGTGAAAAAAGACAGACAGACAGACTTACTTTCGAATTTGTAATATTATTTTGGATGACGTAGTCTATATTTTCTATAACGTTCTTACTGCCATAGATTACTAACTTCTGCTAATGACCCCGATCCTAAGAGATTTCCGATTCACATAAAAAACCTCTTTTTCCACATAATGCATTCCTCAGCAATATTACTCATTTCACATCCATTAAAAGTCTGTTTTCGTCGAACAAAAATCATACAATTAATATTATCAACAATTTCTGTTTGACCTATAACATCAAAAGCAGCATTTCGTCATGTAACAAAACCGAACAATATCGATCAAAAAAAAAACAATCTTCTCCATACATTTTATCTATAACGGAACGCCTTGGCAACTGCAAAACACGCAAACAAACAAACGCAATACTAAAAAACAATTGCTATCCCTCCTACAGCCAATTAAGAAGCAACTTTATCATTACAACAACAGGGTGTATTATCGTTATTTTCATGTTGTTAATTTAGATGAAATCATATTTATTGAGAATTTATCTAGTGTTAATTGTGCGTCGATGGTTGGTATAAACAATAATGGGTCAAATGCCATTGACATACGTAATACATTGGTGTGACGTAAAACTGATCAGTTTTGAAGGAATATTTGCAAGATGTGTGTTAGCGACGACACAATAATGAAACATTTCGTTATTTTGTTTTTTTATTTTTACTGTGCATAATTATTTAGTGTGGATAAATAAATAATTTTATATCTTGATGTATGTTACGTCAACGATATGAACAAAGATTATCAGTCATTGAACACTTAATAAATAAAAGTACTTGCAAGCCAAAGTCAAATTCTTAAAGATAAAAAGTGTCAGTCAGTCGGTCAGTCCTATTTTTAAATGATAGGTCGGCAGACGAGCTGTCTTATAACCTGATGGTAAGCAATCGGCGCTGACCATGAACTCCTTCAACACACGTATCACACGGCCATATACAAAAAATCCTTTAGTGATTGTGATCTATTTCATGCAAGGAACTAACTCTTAACATTTCAATACAAAATAGGTTTTACAAGAATAGGGTACGGCGTATTTTAAACGCAGACAAGACAGTATATCATAAACTTATATACGATGTTCACTGGAAAAATGATTAAATCAGTCAACTTCCGTCACTTTTACTGATTAAAAACCATCCAGTTCCTTCTTCTCCAGGCCGAGGCCGTCGTCCATAAATTGAGCTTGCCTAGCTACCCTGATTGATGGAACCTGAATGACTGCTTACCATCAGGTCATCCGTCTGATCGTTTTGTTGTTATTCATTAGGTCCATCCTAATTAGGACTGTACCTACATCTCTACTAATCCTTAAAAATAACGAAGAAATTATATAGTTAAGTTAGAATGAACATATGTATATAGTTATAAGTATGTCGTATATATAAGAAGGCATTGTGTGCCCCGCCTATATTTATAGTATTATCTGCCGAGCCTGACCTTTACTTGGACAGACAAGTTCCCAGTATATGATGATGCAAGTATTGATTCAGCGTTCTCCCTTGTACATCTATACTAATATTATAAAGAGGTAAAATTTGCAAGTTTGTATGTAGGGGGTAATCTTTGGAACCGCTGGTCGGATTCCCAAAATTCTTTCACTGATAGATAGCTACAATGTTCCTGAGTGCTATAGGCTATAAAACATCAAGCTACGATCAAATGGAGCTGAGCAGAGGGTGAAACCGCGCGAGAGTAGCTAGTACATTGATAAATTGATAAAAGTTATTATTTCACACATAAAAGATTATGTTAGATTATACTAAGAAAGAAATAGGGAAGGACAACTACAATTTAGGTATTTTCAAAGTCAATTCAGACTTACAATTTCAACTTAATAATAGTCTACATAGAGTCCATATTCAATTGATAACCTTCTACCTAAGACCAAGACATAGCTACTATTATCTAAATTAGATCCCTTTGTTAATATTTCACTATGATATCCAAATAAAAACCTTATTAAAAAAGGATTAAGCTCCGAAATAGTCTACTATCGCCCTTGTGGATAACCTATGACTTATGTTTAAAACATAGGAATTTTCCAACGGTTGTTATTCATACTTAATATCGATAAGGACCAATAGTAAAGAAATTCGTTCGTAAAACTATTTTTCATTTAATCGATAACACGGTTATTATGACGTAATTCGTTTATAGTAATTATATGCCTTTTAATTTAAGTATAGGTAACTAATTGTGTGCATGATTTTGTCGAGATTATGAGGCAAAAAACTAGATTATTGGCTTTAACTCGAATGATAGTTCTTTTGAAATATCTACAATACAGTAGTTTCCAACTAGTCAAACTCAATACTTTCATCCAAATGTCAAAAACGATACTTTTCTATAAAAAAATTTATGGAAAACTGAGATATGACGTCATAGTATTTTTGCGTCAAATAGCTTATTTATTTCTTAAAAAATTGCTAAAAAATATCTAAAATTTAGTGTATCGATCGAACGATGAACAAAAGTATACTTAGGTATTTTTCAACATTTTATTGTATTGAAACGTCGAATTAATTTATTTTTGACCTAGGAAACTGCCCAATTATCACCTTTTTAGTAATGTACTAGAAACTGATTGTAGACTGGAACATCTAGGCAGAACTTAAACAGCGCGATTTTTTTACATGAAAAACTTTTGTTAACATTATGTATCACAACCGACCCAGCTGAAAGTCATTAAGGAAGACCTAGGTTCAGCAGTATAAGTCTCTTAGCTGATTAACGATTTTCCATGCCAAAGAAGGGGTCTCAACTAACAATAATATGCAATATATCAGCATTATTTACAAAAGTTAGCTTAGACAACATGCAAGCACAATGATGTAGACCAGTAGAAGGAACAAGTTGATCATCAGTCATTAAGAGTCTGACACTCCCTCCCCCTACTCGCGACGGGAGAAGTCTTACGATGATTTTCCAATACCAAAAAGTTCAGATAAATTTAAACAAAGATACCAGAGTGCACTTGCTCAAAGGCAGTTAGAACTCGATATCATCAATAAATATAAATATGCATAATATAAGTCCAATAGATAAACTACTGATATCTATTGAATAGTTCTTATGTATCCAATTTGAACTGTCACTGAGCTAAATATGCTTATGTCATGTTTATGTAATATATTATATTATCTCATGATAGTTTAGTAGACACGAGTACAGCGACACAGAAGATCGAAGGGTTATTATGAACTTGGATTCGTGTTCGATCTTGAAAATAAGTCTATTCTAATATCATAATTGCGTCGTTTTCTGACGTTTTTTTTTCTTCACGCTTAAACTACTGAACCGATTTATGTGAAATTTGGTACAGACATTGTTTGGAACTCGAGAAAGGACATAGGAAGGACTCGAGAAAGGATAGTTTTTATACCAAAAATCTGCAGAAAGTCACTATTCAAAAAATACTAGCAAAAATATCTATAACTCAGTGTATCGACAGATCGATGAATAAAAGATTATTTCAGTATTTCATTGTGTTGAAACGTCGAATTAATTTATTTTTAACCTAGGAAACTACTTAATTGTCTCATCATCATCATTAAGGACGACCAAACTAAGTTATGCAACTTATAATTGCTAACTACTTAATCATAATTACGACTAATCTAAACGATGGGGAACCCACTTTGTTTCTTTAAAATCCTAAGATCATCCAACAACAAACGCAAAACATTTATATATTATTTGATTAACTAAAGTGCCTTACGCGGCGAGGATAGAGTTTATTTTCGCTAAAATCACAAAAAACAAGTACAATTAATCATCACATCAATTAATACGAAGCGTACGTACCAACATATTTAATGCCCTCAGCCTTCAATCCATCGACAGCTCTCTGGAGGACCTGTTCCTTGACATCCAGAAGCTGGTCAGGAGTGATGAGAGGACATGGGCAGTAGGCACCCATGCCACCAGTGTTGGGGCCTGTGTCACCGTCACCGACACGTTTGTGGTCCTGAGCTGGTGGCATCATGGATACTGTCTCTCCGTCTGTGAAGGCTAGGATCTGGAATAAAGAGGAGTGAGATGTGTACCATTGGTTTATCCTTTTTTTAATAATTTAGTGACTTTTAGACAATTATTTTGCTAACGAGATCAATGGACTAGGGTGTTTATCGTTTTGTGTTTAGTATTTTGAACCTTATAGCAACAAATTTGAAAGATTGGTGCTAGAAAATACCTTCAAATAACTCTCATCTTAAAAGCAAATTTTGGTCACACGTGGCCACTATCGTCATGTGTATGGTTTATTCTTACATTGAGGTATTAAAAATAAAAAAATATACATTATAGGTTTACTATAAGCAATGGCTTGATTCAACATGACAAAACGAATCAAAATAATCTTGATAACCTCAGTATTGTTACGTAAAATCGTTTTAATATAAACACACAACTGAATGCTTAGAGCAATAATCCTTTACATTAACGCAATCGAAACGTTACCGCGGTTTGCCCTCTGATTGGTTCGTCCACTTGAAGCAGGCCAATCAGAGAGCCGAACGTCACAAACATGTCGATTGTATTAACGTAAAGCAAACGCACACTAGGCATCCTGTTTGATGAATTTGACTTAGGGCTGATTTTTCAATGGTTAGATAAAAGTTATCTGGAGAATAAATATGATGCTGTCGCATAAAAATGTTTGTATTAGACAGAGATAGCAACAATTTTACTCCTCAGATAACATTTTAAACATTTATCTGACTATTGAAAATCAGCCCTTAGAAAAAAACATTAAGTATTCTTTGCACGTGACGGGCGCAAAATGAACAAGATAGTCATTTATCTCTAACTTACATAATCATCAACAAAAATCATGTGTTGAAAATGTTCTAAACATCTCAATCATTACATGACCTCTAAAACATCGAATGAACAAACAACGCTGTTATTCTTTTTTATAGATTTATCAATAATACGAAAAAAAAACTGACTAATTACAATGACTACTTAAATCATTCCGTTATCAGAACCCCAACGGGTGGTTAAGAATATTTGAAGAATTGACCTCCACTATCAGCGTATGATACGCTTAATATGGGAGATAAACAACCGAATTACGTTTTTTGCGACAAGGTATCAGTTTTTTACATACATATTCGAGTCCAGAACGGAACAAAGGAGGGAGGGGCTTGTTTGCTATGACCTTTTTTGTGTGGAAATCATCATGGATACACTTTACGACACAATATGCTGTTGTTTAGATGACATATTTAGACCAATGTGTAAACATTTTAATGTGGGAGAGCCATGCTTCTAATAGGTCAAGTCGACCGGAATGACAGCACGGCCTCACAAAAAAACCTACGTGAAACAACCACTGCGTTGTGTTGTGTTTCATTTTGTGAGTTAGGTTACCAAAGGCCCAATCCTTCCTCTCCCCCAATTCTATTAGTCAGTACGCAGATGTGTTCGCATTGCAAATGGATTTATTTTCCATGTGAAATGACCACCTCCAGAACTGCAAGGTTCTAGAAGTCTTTGTACCGATCTACTTTCTCTTTTTAATACATAATGTACATTATGGACTGTAATAAACAATGGAGTCTGAAAGAAAAGAAACATCCGCGCCATTATTTGTTACTCTCTTTGCCATTTTAAAGACATGACATTTTTAAGCCAAGCTAGTCATACAGGTAAGAATACTTACAGAAACTTCATCTCCTTCAAGCAGCTCTTCAACCACCACAACTTGCCCAGCTGCGCCATACTTGGCGTCTGTGAGGATCTCATCTACTGCCTGGCAAGCCTCCTCCTTGTTGGCTGCGACCACCACACCTTTGCCAGCAGCGAGCCCTGAGGCCTTTACTACCAGAGCCGGGAAGGGAGCGCTAGAAAGAGAAAAAGGATTGTAGGATATATTTTCGGAAAGCAATATCGACCTTAACTTCAAAATTTTAAAGTGTCTTTTTGTAGTGCGTGTATTTACTGGATAAATAAAATAAATATTTTTTTGCAAGATTTCAGTTCAAAAAGTTTGTCTTGAATATAGATATAAAAAGTATGTATAAGTCATAACACTAGATATGGTGTTTAATCAGAAAAAATAATTGCTGTACACTACACCTCCATTTTGACAAAAATCCCCTTAAAATCACTGTTTAAAAATATAAGGTTATCAGTTTGCAGAATTCTTACTATAATTGCTCAAAGTGGGCCAAGTACAAGAGTTATTTTTATATTGTTTATTATAATTTATAGTGCACTTAATTAGCATCCTTGTGATAGTGTCCTTTGACTTAATTAACGATATCTTCATTATGAAATAACGAGAAGCTTATTGTAATAAAGGCGAAAAAATACTAGCAGAGTTTAATCTCCAAAGATTCCTAAATATGCATATTTGATTCATAGACTCATAGATCAATAAAGAACCTCTAGAATCCTCCAAAACAAGAACCAGAAACCAATAACAGATGTACAAAATGACAAAAACTTGCATTTGGTTGATTAGGTATTGACTAATTATTTATTAGTTATTTCCAATTAACTAGAAATATAATAAGGTGAAAATTCGAAAGATAAACTACCATAAAAAGAAGAAACCCGTCATATTTAAAATGCATTGACGGAAACTGGACTAAAGTTCTCTTTGATGAACCTGAAACTTTAATACCGCCATTTTTAAACCCTGCTAATGCCTGCCTGCTTATGTAAAGGAGGCCTATAGCTATCCAATACTGTTTATTTATCTAATTATTATCTGACTAACAACAATAACATAAAAGAAAAAGAAAACAATTACAAAATCAATAACTAATACAAATCTTCGTTTCGGGCTACAGACGTTATTGAACAACTCAAATGCAGCAATATTAGGTATATATTTTCCATGTGACAAATACACTACATCCTGTACAAATAACCAGATAAAACCGGTCACAACCGTCCACCTATGTACCTTCACTCTTTCACCTACTTATCTCCAACGCAACGCACTCGTACTATAAACATTAGATATACCAAGATCTTTGTACTAGACAGGCTATTCAGGTTAAATATCAATAATAATAATTACACAATTATAATTAAGAAAGTAATCGATCGATTACACATGTTCGAATAATCTAGTGTTTATGATATGACTCGTGCAGTTTCACAAACAGCTTACATACTGTTCCGGGTAGGTATTGAAAAGATTTTGTCATTGGTAAACGTTAACGACTAAACAAAAGCCCCCTGGTTGGTAACTGCTTTGTGTTGATATGAGGAATGAAGAAATACGATAAGCTAAAATCATTTGTGTAACTTATTAGACGCATCCCCGAAAGCAGAAAAAAAAGGTCTTCACATATCTACTGCCCGACTATTCATTAAAATATTTTTGTAATGGGCAGGCATTTGGTAGTTATCACGCCTGGGGTAAACGATAATGCGATCTACGAATAAGCATATCTACCCATAAGCGAAGATTTCACTTGGGCCTTGAAGGCACCCAGCTAATCCCCTTCGGGGAATACAGACTCAGGCAAATAATTCCACTCCAGCGGTTCGAATTATAAATCTACATTAAAAACAGCCCGTTTTCGATCACAAAAGCCTACCTAAGACCACATAACTATTTAAGCTTAAGCTTAACAACTTGGACCTACTCTTAAAGTCTACAATGAACTTTAAAAATACTTCAAATTCAATTGATTTGTTCCACAACCGCCACATTTGGCGCAAAATTGTAATATAATATATTTTCACTATTCTGACCTCGGCTATTAACTCCAAATGATTAATAGGCGAAGATATCAGGCTGTTATCAGTCACATTTGAATGCAAAGTGCATCAAAAGGACAATGTAAGTTACGATTTCTGGGAAGGACTAGTCTAGACGTAACCAGAAATAAACGGAGACAGACTAAGGACATTTGTACTTGAAGTTACGGTGGAAGAATTTGTTAACGTGAGATTTAAGACAGAACGAAGATTCCGAATGACGTGTCTATTTTTACGAGAGAGAGAGAGAGAGAGAGAGAGAGCGCGCGAGAGAGAGAGAGAGAGAGAGAGAGAGAGAGATAGAGAGAGCGAGAGAGAGAGAGAGAGCGCGAGAGAGAGCGAGAGAGAGAGAGAGCGCGAGAGAGAGCGAGAGAGAGAGAGAGATGACAACTACAGAATTCTAAGGAGCTGCTATGTTAAAGAAAGTCTTTTGTTTTTTTTTATGTTATGGGTAAGCAATCGAGCTCGAACTACCTGATGGACAGCAATTGGAATTCAACATGGCATGCCTAAGGAACCCAACATCGAAGAATTACAAGCGCGTTGCCAGCTTATCGGGGGCCAGCGATTTAAGGGACTATGGGGATTGGGGATAGGATGGTCGATGGATTGGAAATGTTATAATAGTTAGTATATTATCAAAAACTAGTTATTTTTACGTAACTTACGTGTTAATAAACTCCTTAGCCGCTGCAGCATCAGTAAACGACTTATGCCTCGCTGTCGGTATCTGATACTTGTTCATGAAGCTCTTGGACCAGTCCTTGTCAGCTTCTATACGAGCTCCAGCCTTCGTTGGCCCGAAGCATTTGATGCCCAAAGAAGTCAGGTTGTCCACGATACCATTGGCAAGAGGATCCTCTGGACCGACCACCACAATATCGATTTCGTGTTCTTTGCACCATTGTGCTATTGCCTGCAAAGGAGAATATATTTTAGATGTTGGTGGATAAAGTTAAGTTTTAGTTGTGGTTCATTTCAGGTTATGACTTGGTAAGTAGAAACCTCAGTAAGATAATAAGTATCTCTGATTTTCAAGTTTCAATTTAAGGATATGCACGGTACCTTTTATTTATAAACCTATCCAAAACATAACTAGCCCAAATTCAGCCGGGGTCGCGGGTGTAAGTAAAATAATGTACTAAGGCGGCCCGGAGCAGGAGAAGAAACAGGATAGTTCTTAAACTGACATTATCACAATGGGTATCACTTCCCACTCTAATTTTAATTCATCAAACCCCAAGCTAATGCTGGCGTTCGCTCTCCTATTGTTCTTGTATTGCGTCTTGAATTACAACGATTAAAAAGTAGAAACCTAAAGAATAGTACCTAGTTGATCTTATGCCATGTTTACTGAACGAAGCATTTGGAGTGGCGAGTGAACTTGCGCGATGAATACTGAACTTCATGATACGAAAGGTACGAGGTTATCAATCATACACGAGCGTCTATTCAATCTATAAACAGTTGTTATTGATCGCAAGGTATGTGCGTCGTGTGATCATTTGATTTGACCAAACATTGTGGACGAATTTTATTTCTAGATCGCTAGAGTCTACACTAGCCTTGTATCTTTTCGTCTTTACGTTTTCAGAAAATTAGTCTACAAAGAGTGGCCTACAAATGACGCTAATATCACAATGCTACGGTAACTTTTGCGCAGTTAAAAATACAATAAAAGAATTCGAATAAAGGTCTCTTTACTTTAATATCACTTAATGATATGAAAAACGTGTTCTACGAATTTATCATACAAAAATCACGTGTAACAATAAGTTTTTCTTCAACAATGATAAGTAACGAAAAATACAACGAAGTATTTTATCGGGTAGTGACATAAAGTAGTAACTGTTCTTAGTTTAACTTATAGTTGGCATCCCAACGGACATTGCATGTTTGAACAATTAAAATAATCACAATTATGAGATAATACTCGGCTCTAGTTTTTACGTAAGCTTCGTGTTGGTCGCGCCTATTTGAATAAGAGACAGACTCATGGGGATTGTTAATAATCAATGTAAGATAATATCCCATTCACGCTCAGTCTTTAAGATATTATTATGCGATTATTGGTCTAAGCAGTTAAAATTTTGATACAAATGTATCATTTTTCGTCACAGAGTACTGGTAAGCCCAGTTAAAATGTATTAGAAGCAATTTTAAAATACAAATGATTAAGTATCCTAGAAACACACAAACATACAAAAATACTATAACAAGTTCTCAAGGGGTAAAGATAAACATTGTAATAGCAATAGTTCTTTAATGAGTTTGTTGTAAATGTCGTAATTATTTGCGTGGCTGCAATCAGAGTAATAGGGTCACCGCTTCACGTCGTCAAAGCTTATGAAACTTATACAGATCTAGAATAAAATATAATAAATAATAAAGTGTGACGTAGGTACCTATTATGGCAGAAATGTAACATACATTAGTGTTAGACCAAGCAACACTGTCTGATAAACTAAGATATGTAACCCGCCAGACAAGGGTGAAAAAGAATTGTATTTTTGATAGGACCGATCGTCTTTTTAGCACGCTACGGCTGTTTACTACTTAACCGGACTAATCCCTGTGATTCCCTCTAAGCTAAGACACCCAGCCAGCTACTTATTAGCTAAATGACCGCATCGCTAAGGGCAATCCTTGTGGGGTTAGAACCTCAACTCAGCGGGGCCATTGTCGAGGAGAAGTAGTAGTTATGGCAACCCCTTCTTAACACGTTCAGCGCCACTGACTCGCCCGGAGAGTCCACGTAAATTTTACTCCAGCGCCGTAGACTTGCTCGGCAACTTTACCGTAAAATGTAGGAGGTATACGGGAATTATTCGTGAAAACCGCTGGGCTGAAATTTGGTGCCATTTTCCAGTTGAGGACTGTTGCAGCCTGTTGATAATTACAGCTTATACCACAACTTAACTTAGACCGAACCAAAACTATCGTAGGTACATTAGAATTTGTATACCAAACAATCCGTTCTTATTAGTGTTAAACTGAGAAAATCGATCGACTTGGGACATCACTGTGTTGCCCGCCAAATGGAGGACATCACTATTTTTTTCACTTTGACAGTAGCATCGCGCGCGAGTCGATTGTCTTTTTAAAAGATAGTGAATAAAACTTTATTATACTTGTGAATTGAGACAATTTGTTTTAATATTAGTTACGAAATAACTGCCATTGAGAAGGGCATTGGTCGCATCAATGACCCAAATTGGTAGCGGGAGTCTGACAACAATGTAATACTCATAAATCCTATTTAAACTAACAAGTCTGTTATTAGAGAGCTTTGTATAACCTATAAATAGGTAGGTGACTACATGATGACTCTAAATACGATATTGAATTAATTAGAAAATGCTAAAATAATGTAGCCAAACAACTCTTAGACGAGGTAAAACTGAGACAGAGATACTTACATCATCATTTGCAAAAAAAAATCATTAATGCGGTTAAAAATGTTTTTATTTAAAGAATGGAGGCAAATGATCAGACAAATAAATCACCTAATGGCAACTGCAACCGCATTACCAGGAGTCGCAAATGAGTTGCCTGATTTCAGTTAATTTTCTGACCATTTGTCTTCATATTATTGACTGCACGAATGTGGTGACCGTATCTTTCTTAGTTTTTGTGATATATTATGTGTCGCGGTTTCGATTCTCATTCACAATCAATTTTTATTTGATCTGGCAGGCTGTTGTTCCTTATTCAATTTTGCCGCAGATTAGAATTCTATTTTTGAACACATTCAAGAGTAAAGAAAACCGTTATATGAAACGCTATTATGAAAGAATAAAGTCAGTAATCTATATAAACTGACTAGCAGACCCAGCCACGCGTTGCTGTGGCTAAGGTAAATAACATTGCGACTATAAATTGAGATGTAAGCTATTCTATCTTTTAAGTTGGATCAAAATGCACACGGAAATCAAATAAAATTTAAAATCGGTTTAGTAGTTTAGGAGTCCATCGCGGACAAACACGTGACCCGAAATTTTTATATATAAAGATTAACAAGATCACAATTCGGAAATAACTATTAGGTACCTATTAGTTATCTGTTTAAACCTTAAATGTTTTAAGTAAGTCTCCCGATTTTTTTATCGTGGTAGGTACCTAATTCGGTAACCAAGCAAACGGAATAGCAACCAGCTGATAATAGACAATAATAAGTACATTTCTACGGTGTGTGACAGCAATCTAAGGTCATCGACTTTATATCTACACAGTCAGATAAACGCAAAAGGTTAGAGAGCATAATGACACTTCTTTTACTGTAATTTTAAGGTCTTTTAATGTTACTTTCACACTTGTTTCATGATTAATTTTCGTCTTAAAAATCTTCTAAAGGCATTTCTTCAACTTTTTCGAAAATGTCTGAATATTAAGATTTGAGAAGCAGCAATCATTAGAAGTCCGGGTTTTTTATACAAATAACCGAAAATTCATAGAGATCGGCCGTGCGTCGGTCTGACCCTCAATCCCTTTTCCGCGTACTACAAACGGGGCCATATAGGGCTGATGCTCAGCCGGGGTTGAGGGGGTTACGCTTGTTATGAGGCACCGCATCCTCGGCCTAGAGCAGGAGAAGGAACGGGGTTTTTTAGTCAGTAAGAGTCAGACACTTTCTCTCGCCTCGCCTGACCCTGGGCGCGATTTAATGATTTTCCACTGACTAAAAAAAACAATTACCAAATTTTTCGCACAATATTCACGAACGTTAAAATTTTACTAAAAGTTTAAGTTTTTACAACAATTTTAATTTTGATCCGGGTTACCTACCCCAGCTCTTAGGTAATATTTTTTCTACAGCTCCGCCCGACGTCATTGTTTTTATGTCGTAATATATCATGTCGTTTCTCAAAACAAAATTAATTTTAAATTCGGATTAGCTGTTTGACAGATTATTTAGCGTATTCTTAATTTTTTTTATGCAACGCAAAAGTTGTGTTATATGTTACTTAAAATTATCTATTTAATTATGCAAAACTAAAGTACGTAAAAATATAAGTGTGTAAGTCCTGTAAGGGGTCAATGATAAGATAAAAAATGTGTCCATTTATAACAAGTTTGACTTTAATGTTTGTGAAAGTACTAAATGTCATTTATTTGTAGAGATAATACCATATCCAATTTATATCACTTTACTAACTAGTTACGTAAAATTAACTTATATGTATATTTTATTATTTACATTTAGTTATTACAAATTTTCTTTTATCATCATCATCATATCAGCCACAGGACGTCCACTGCTGAACATAGGCCTCCCCCATTGACTTCCAAATTTTCTTTACTATTAGTTAAATACTATATTACAAATTTGTGATTAAAATCAACTATTAGTCGAATATGTATTGTTTGATTGTAACATATGTATCACTTTCATCTTTTCAACTGTAGTAATTAGAGACACAATTGAAGAACAATAGGTGTGTGTTATTAATTGCTGAAAAAGTAGGAAACAGTGCAATATAGCACCTATTTTACATTAGACTTCTTATCAATCCTATATGTATAATAGAGAGTAAGTACATTGATCAAATTCCAAACTATAATTATGATAGACTACTGATTAAAAATTCAATAAATAAAAAAAAATATTAAAACCCACTTTCTTATTTTTTATTATCAAGGTTTTTATTTTTTTTTTATTATTTAAATACAATAGAATTCAAAGCTGAGTTAATTGAAACTAAAATTTATTGAAATAAACTTGTTTTTATTTACAGTAACTTAGTTATCCATCATATTCCTTGTAATATTATCTCCTTAACTATTGGGCCATTAAGAATATTATGTAACTTACTGATAAACAGTCTAAGAATAAACTATTTGTTTTAACTGATTAATAAACCATCAATTCATGCTCCAATTAAAATCAAATGTTAACATTTTAAATTGTGATCTAATTTAGAATAGATTATCTTGTGTTGTTGTTACAAATGATTAATGTGTGGTTTAATATCTTTGTTACTACAGTAAATACATGCCTTTATTTATTTTTTAATTTTGACAGTATACCACTTAAAAAATTAAATAATAAATTATTCTAAATTCTATATTCGAACTATTTAAAGCATTAGTATCTGTTCATACTGTTACCTATCTAAAGCATTATTCAATCGAATATTTAAAAGTTAAAATATGTATTATCAATTATTATTTTTAGTCTTATAGACTTTGCTAAGGATACCCACTGATCTTTTTGATAAATACTACTACATTTGCACAACCTTGTATACCTAATAAATATTTAGTAACTAACTCAAAGAGCAGCTAATAGTATTCCAATAAGAAAAAAAACTTACTGGATAGTCCTTGATGTTGAGTTCGACGCACTCAACTTTGTTTGTTGTTGCGATGCCCACACTACCGGGTGCACAGTATACTTGCTCCACAAACGGGGAGTCTGCCAGCTTCCAGCATAACGCATGCTCCCGACCGCCGCTGCCGATCACCAAAACTTTACCACCAGACATTATTCTACCTTGTTTACTAAAACTTAGCCTATATGTCACGTGTCCAAATTACAAACTATCAACGCAACTTCTAGCTAACATTTACTAGTTAAAGCTAGACTGCGATTTAACTAAATAAAACCAAGACGCAGTAATGTTTAATTAACGAAAAGCATTTATTTTATTTATGAACCACCGTCTTCGACACGCGCAAACTTTTAAATGAATGACGTTGTTGACATTCCGTTTAGTTGTCTCGACGCGAGGCATGACCACTAGTGCTGCAAAAATAGATTTATCGATATCGACTCTGTTAAAGCATCATTTTTTTTTTATATTTTTATATGTAATGTGGAATTTAGGATGATTGATTATAGTTAATACAGGAACAACAATTATGAGCAATACTAGTAATTATACTTTTGAAACACTCACTCACCCATAAGATGGTGAGTCTCTTGTGCTGCTGATGATGTTTATGACGATCGTTACCACGTAAGGAACACGTTTACAACAAATTGTTGATGTCAGTCTTTTTAAAAGAGACTGACCTCAACAATTTGTGTACTCAATGTGTAACTCAAGAAAAAATTTGAATTGATGTGTTTCTGTTGCCGCTATAACAACAAATTCTGAAACAAAATAATAGGAGCCACCCAGCTACTATACAACAAAAGTGATCCTGGTACAAAACCTGTCTACCTGTTGTAGTTCTGGTTAGTACTTGAGTGGTTTTTATATCCATAGCAGTAATTATTGTACTTGTGATTACCTGATGGCAAGTAGTCGGCGCCACCCATGGACACCCGCAACGTCAGAAGAGCTACGAAGGCGAAGTTACGAAGTTCAGGTTTCGGAAATTTAGGGATTGGAGTGGAATGGGGAAAGGAAAAGGATTGGGCCTCCAGTAACTTCACTCACACGAAATTCAATGCTGTTGTTGTCCCACGCCAGTTTTCTGTGGGGCCATGGTATCACTCCAGTCGAGCCGAACCATTCGTGCCGAAGTTTGGCTCTCCCACACTTCTATTCCAATCCAATTCAGGTTTCTTTTTTATGTAATAAGTCGGCAAACGAGCAGACGGATTACCTGATGGTAAGCAATCAGCGCCGCCCATGCAACGGAGGAGTTACGAGTGCGTTGCCGACCTTTTAGGGATTAGGGATTTGGAGATTTAGGGTAATAATAAACGATGGTCATCAGTTTGGTACATCACTAAAATTACGTCAGCCCCCGTACTTTAATAAGTAGGTACTTACTTGCGTTGAAACAAATATGTCTTATTCGACATATTTATCAATATCTGAATTCAAACAAGTGCAAAACGACAGAGGTCGAACTTTTCTGTGATAAAATTACATCATTGAGCTAAAATATGAACTTAAGCTGAAATATATTAGGATCGTTACGGCGATAGTTTGCCTACAACCAAATAAAGGCTTGACCCGGCACTGTTAAGCGTTATCAACAAAATGTATTAGTTAGCAATGCAAAATAGTAATTTAATCGTTTAAAAGTTGCTCGAGACGACAATGAAACAATATGCTCGAGCTGGTGTATGGAGGGGTATACGGAGGGGTGTAGGACATTATATTATTTAAAAATAATATGTAAAATCACTCAATCAGTGAAAGAATTATAAGAACTTCCGTCCAAGAATTATTGAATATGTGCCTGTACTTTAATTCTTTTATTATATAATCTGCACGACGGTTATGATCTCAGGATTGTTTGGCATACCTAATTTTTAGAAATAAAGTAGATAAGGTAAAAATGTTCAGAATACGTTCCGAAATACGTAAATGTTTAAAAAAATAGACATAGATAAATGGGTAATAATTAAAAAGTAGTTATTCTATACAGCAACTTGGATAGGTAACTCATAATTTAATTTTTAGCGGGTGAATAATACGTTCCTTTATACCCAGAATAATTCTTATTCCCTTAATTTAAGCTCTAATGGAAATAGCTTTAGTATTTAACTGGTTTTCAAAAAAGCATGTTTTTAGTATTTTTATTTGTAATCTGTAATAAAACTTATTTTAATTCCATTAATATTTTAGGAGGTAGGAGAAAATAAGTTGAAATGACCGAGTGTACGGAACGATTCGAAAATGGCGATTTGAGAATTTATTCGTTCTTGTCATTTTGCTGTGATGCTTGCTCGCTGTATAAAAACTTGTATTTTGTTGCTATAAAATGGCTGACACCGGACTGCGTATGAATTTTGCTGCCCTAAAGAGGGCAGATCCCTACGCTAGAGAAATAATCGACAGTGCTACCCACGTTGCGCTTTATACATTCGAAGAGAACGAATGGGAGAAAACTAACATCGAGGGTGCTTTGTTTGTGTACAGTAGAAATGGTGAACCATACCATAGTTTAGTGATTATGAACAGATTGAGTACGAATAACCTAATCGAACCAGTGTCGAAGGGAATAGAATTGCAATTGAAGGAACCGTTCCTTTTGTATCGGAATGCCAAGTGTCGTATTTACGGCATATGGTTTTACGATAAAGACGAGTGCGTTAGAGTTGCGACTAAACTAAATTCTTTGATAAAGGAGTCGCTGAAACAAGTACCTGGAGAGAACATGCCACAGAATCCAGTTTACAATGCGGCGACGCCTGCAGCAGCGCCGGTTGACATATTTAGCATGTTGAGTAAGGCCCAGGATGATTTTAATTCGAATAAGGGTCTAGCAGCTAACAAATGTGATTCAACACCGTCTCGCGCGCCTGATATGACTTCGCAAAGTGTTATGGACTTCTTTGCCAAGGCTGGAAGTGGTGCTGCTGCAGCACAGATGCCGGCGGTGTCTTCATTACCTTCGCCGGGTATTTTTGGGCCGCGTCCGACAGACGCGCGGGAGGTACCCCAGCTACTGCAGAGGCTCATGAGTAATCCAGCACACTCGGTGGAACATATAGAGAAGCAGCAACGGTCTGTGACACCTCAGGAGGCCCAAAGTTCTAATGGCAACATGAGTATGGATTCAACAATAAGACAAAATTGTGGGTTTCCATTAAAGTCAACTCCAATTGACAAACCAAATCAGCAAAGATTATCTGGTATGAAGAAGGGGCAGTTGGATTCAACTGACACCAATGGTATTATACCACTGGAGAGCGAGTTGAACTTAATGCATATATCATCACCCAAGCCTACATCTCCGCTAGCTACTTATCTGAATCAATCGCAGGACATCAGCCACACGGTAAGCTCTTTTAATGGTAGCAAATTGGAAGATATTGGAATGTATCCTATGATTGACTCTGTGTCAACTCAGCAGAAACCGGCGTTGATGCCGCCTACGATGTTCACTGCAAGCACTGGTGGAGATGTCCAGCCTTCACCTGAGCCTCTCACTAGGAACCAGCTTCTTCAAGCTTTCAATTACCTGCTGAAACATGATGCTGATTTTGTGAACAAATTGCATGAGGCTTATGTAAAATCCTTTTCAGAAAAGGCATTCTCTGTGTCATAAAATTCATTCTTTGACAGTGACTAGCACAAGCCGTGTTCAGACACTTAAAATATAATATGTACAGCCGTAATTTGAATATAAACTGAAACAGTATAAACTGAATCTTCATAAAAATGTTGTGTAGACCCTCTAGTTTTGTAGTGACTCATTGTTTGGAGTATTTTTAAATAAGTTTTAAGCCTTTGACTTTAACCTGTACAGAGAATGAATTTTAGTGACTTATCTTTTAGTTTGGACAGAGGTTGAGAAGGTCCCTTAAGCCGCTATTTGTGATATTTAAATTGGCTCCAGCTTAAGGTTTATTCAAAATCTGTTAATGCATCTGAACAATATGTACCTTCTTTGTTAGTTTTAATAACTATGAGTTCTTTGCAATATTAAAATATGTACATTTTTGAAAGACAATACTATGAGTACTTTGACAAATACGCTTTTCTAAGAGATATTTTTATTGACTTGATATGCTGCATTGGTACTTCCATAATTTTGAAAGAAAATATCTTCTTTTAATGTTAAGGACTGCAAGAATTTGCTATATCTTTACAAGATTGTTCTTACCTGTTAACAGCATAGATATCAGATTTTTTTAGGTTTTATTGTGTTGAATGTTTTTATTTCCTGTAAAATTTTGTCAGTAGCTACTAGTAAGACTTGTCCCTATTCTTTTATATCTATTTTTTCAGTAAAATTTTAAGTACCTATATGTATTGATTGTTATACAAAACTGAAGACTTTAATATACATTAGATACAGGGGAAATCAAATGAAAAAGTTGGTTAAAAATATTTTTCTTTAAACATGTGAAATTTAGTCATTTGTTTAGGGGAAAAATTAATCTAAATAGTTATATTTCTCCTAAGAATCAATTTTCTAAGGATGGTGTGTTGTAAAAACACACTGAGAGATATATAAGTTCAATTACCAACATGGGAGTTTTGGAAAGCTTCCAAGGGGACCTGCCACCTATTTACCCCCTCTACATTTCAATTGTGAAATGGTTTGTACTTTGCCAAACTATAAAATCACCTTAAAATGTTTATGGTCGTATTAAATCGCCGACCATGTGTTTATAATCTTAAAAAATGATAAGACAAAAAAATGTTATAGCTTAGGAAACATCTATAAGATTTGAAACCATCTCTGTGCTTGTCTATCTAATGCTATAATGACAATGTTATAATCTGTTGTGTAAGAAAATTTGGAACAGCTATGACTGTTACATGAAGATATTTTTTTAATTCTCATTACTGTAAAGGAGCAGAATGATTTGACGAAAACTAATTTTGGCCTACATAACTTTGATCTTATCCTATTAGTTTGATTTTCTTAATGCTCCTACTATTATTTCAATTTCTTAAACAAATGTAGTCCAGGCTGTAATAGTTTTTGACATTTTTTCAGTTTGAAATGTTATCATACAAAAATAGTCTCAAATTAAAGGGTTCATCGAAGAAACACTTTCTTTTATTTTTCCTTGCAAACACCCATATTGTACTTGGTAATTTATAGTTGAGTTGTCTTCATATAGTTGATTAGTAACGTGTGTGCTTTCATTATACAGTTTAGACCAGCATTTCCCAAATACCTACCAAAACTGGCTCATCAAAACCATATCTCAATTTTGGATCATAACATTGCATTTTTTCACTAGGTATATTAATATTGTCTATTTATTATCTGAATACATTTTAAGAGTAATATGCATATTAGGGTTGCGAAGGGGTGGTGTGAAAATTACCTGGCCAGAGCAGAACAATCATTTATTATATTACAGCCGGTGTTGTGGGGTGAGCGCAATGAGGCACCGTGACCTCAGCCCAAAGCAGGAGAAGGAACGGGATGTTTTTAATCAGTAACACCCGGTTTCTGAAAGGCTTGTCAACGCCACAATTAACTAATCTCCTGTTAAATCTCTTGTCAAGTCATCTGATTGGTTGTTGATAATTCAGTCAACCAATCAGGTGAATTGACAAGAGATTAAATTGATTTTAACATTGATCGGCCTTTCGGAAACCGGGTGTAAGAGTCTGACATTCCCTCCCGCCCGACCCTGGGAGGGAGAAGTCATTTGATGATTTTCCCCTCACACAAAAAAATTATATTAGCTTATAGCATAATACAAATATTGAATTACACGTCTTGGGATCACTCTAACTAGGAGGAAATAAAAAAAGTAATCTTTGTTGAAATCGATTTAATATTTCTATATTACAAATCGCTTTTGAACTTTGAACAACCAGTTGAGACCGTAATATTATGGTTTTAATATTTTTTTTCGCCAATATTGGCGTGTCCATGTTTCTATTTAGACAGTACACGTTTTTTTCAATTTTTTACCGCCGTGTTTAAAAATTTCAACCATTGCACCATTTAGATGTATATCTAATATGTACTTCGATTGAATGATTGAATAAAATATACACATGTAACTAAATTATGACAGTTCTATTAGTTCAACAAGCACTTCATATGAATTATGATTCAATTTTGTTATAACAATTTGACACCGCATAAATTCTAAACTGTGAAAAATACTTCTGAAATACTGTTCGTTATAATGGCAATAGTTTAAAATATTTAAAAACGGCTTGTAAACTCATGTTCCATTACAATTTTACATGGAAACTCCTATGATTGGTTGTATCGTGTCCTTGCGCCTTCGCCATTTAGGTATTTACAAATAAAGGATGATTGGGAATATTTTTAGAAAAAATAACACTTAATTTTGGATTGTATTCAATAGTTATAAATTGTGCTATGTGTTTGTGAATACAATAACTCCGGTAGCTTCAATATTTCAAATGTTTTGTATGACTTAATTTATCATTTCATTTACTGCCATTTTTATTGATTGGTGCATGTGCGTGTGTGCGAATTACTATTGAAATAAGCATCTTATTTTATTAATCAGTAGATTGTATCAATGCTGTTAATACATATATCTGAGTGCAATTTTTAAATAATGTGAGTCTCAAATACATTGTTCAAGACTATACCAGTGGAAATAGACTTATAATTGAGATCTTTTATTTTTCATACAAAACATTTGAAACATATATCACTGGGTTGTCAACAGAAAATTACTTTTTAATCTCACTGTAAAACGAATCACCCTGTGGATTTTAAAATGGATCTATGATATGCTACACATAAAGTATATTATGTACATGAAAAAAATTGCATTACATGGCCCTGTTTTGGGCACACTAGTTATTACAAACTTAATTAACAATATCTTGATAAGATTTAAGTAATTTGTTGAGGCCGAGATGTATGTTAGGGAGTCACGCAAGCAATGAACACATGGTAATGACTTTCGTCCACTTCATATTTTGTTGCCAGTTACATCTGTACCAGAATATTGTAAAGATTAGTCCCATAGGTAAATAATGATGGTTTTTTCCTTGTGTATGGTTCCTCTCAAGGTCTAGTCTTTAAAATATTATGATAGTCAATATAAATCAGCAATAACGTGCCTCCCCCATACAAGTCGCCGGCGCGGCGATACCTTTTAAAACTCGATAACACCCGTTCTAATATTACACAATCATTGAATAATCAACCTTATAAACTAAAATAAGGTATAGCTGATCAACGAATTTACCGTTCAAACGCATCACGATTCTAGACAAAGTATGACAATTTAGATTTAATAAACAGTCCGTTTTCAGGGCTACTGTGATTTTTGCAAAAACAAACAAAAAAAGTCAAATACAAAATTCATTATTTATTAAATTTTCGTCTCATTTGAAGTTGTTTACCTTGCGTATACTTAGGTGTGAACCATTTGAATATTTTACAGCATATATTTTTTTAATAAAAGTGAAAAATCTTTTACTAATTTTTACTGTTACAAACAAGTTTTTGCAAAAACACACCACCATTATAAATGAGTCCTTACAGATTTTCATATTTTTTTAATGACTAAAATCTATTTATCTCAACTATTTGGTTTAAAAAGAAGTTTTATTTCTATATAGAAACAATTCGATATAAACTAATCATTATACACGATTTAATGGGATTAAACTAAGACTTGCCGAGTCCCGACGTAGATACATAACATGTTTTAAAACTCTAATAACCTTATTCATGAACAATAATAAACTCATTACAGTTCTAGAATGTTTTGGCTCCTTTTTTAAATAGACAAAACATTCTTTAACTTGCACAGTTTAAAATTATTCACGAACAAGACTGGAACATTCGATTTCTTAATTCGCTTCACAAAGTCACAAGAGAAGCTAGTCTGAAAATACGAAACAATAATTTGAATAGTCAGTCACCATAACTATGATACAAGAAGACCAGCGAAACGAAATTTAGAGTACTTTATGAAGCGTTTTATAGAAAAACCGAAAAGAAAACATCAATCGTAAATGATTCGGCATACATTTGTACCTGATAGTTTATGTACCACTATCCTATTGTCATTAAGAGGTTCACAGCACGTGTGACTTACAAAGACTTAGGGCGCGTCACACTGCACCGATTTCGATGCTTATGTAGCGCACCTTCAGTGATTTGCCGATTTTTAAATTCTTATTTCGAAAGTGATAAGTGCGAGTTTCCTTCGGGTCAACGCGATCGAAATGTTACAGCGTTTGGGCATCTGATTGGCAAGTTAACTTTGAACAGGCCAATCAGAACGCCGAACGTCATAAATGTATTGATCTTCTTAACGCGAAGCAAACTCGCACTAGGCACTCTGTTCTAGACTACGCTTTACTTTTGCATAGACTGTAGCTGGATCTTTTAAAAGAATTTCAACCTTATTGGTTTACAATGAAGTTTAAAATGTATCAATAATTTGTATGTCTTGGATTCCTTGATATAAGCGTTAAATTGCATGTTATATGAACATGTTTAGAAGTATAAAAACCACTAAATACTTCCATATAAAATAACTGTTTTAACATCAGCTGTTATTTTTGTAATTTAACGCCAAATATTATACTATTTTAACCATAAAAATCTCGATACATTTCAAACTTCATTGCAAAACAATAAGGTTGAAATTCATATAGACGGCGTTATGCATATAAAGCGTAGTCCGAATCTAATATTTCTGGGATTAAAACACGGTATATTAATTTGATTCTAGGTCGATGCTGCCAATGATCTGTTCAGTTGCAAAATAATATCAAAATCAGTGGAGTTAAGGTTGTTTATTGTACCTCGGCGTTCATAAGTAGTTTTCGTAAACATAGAACTATAACTAGGAGATCAACGTTGCGCGTTCAAAAATAGGCAAATCACGCAAGACTGTCCATTAAAAATTATATTTACATACATTTGTTATTTCACTGGAAGATTAATACAAACTATTTGTACCAATTTTATTCTAATACAAATAAAATGGCAAATTTCAGGCTAAAAATACATAAAAATGTTGAAAAATTCCTTTGTAACTTCATATTATTGTTTGCATGGAACCATTATTAATCGAATAAAACATTGGTACAAATAATTTTGAAAGGTTACCGTTTGAGCAAATCACCTCGCTTTTGTTGCCAAGTAAAAATTACACTTCTTTATTTTTCAATCTGGCAACATCAGATTTTGCTGTGCAGTCAAGTGGTGAAGTAATTTTTACTTTGAATTTAACAAAAGCGAAGAGAAAAAGAAAAGAAAAAATGGTTCACAATCGCAAGCTTTTATTTTGGTGGGCAGTACGTTTCATAGAATTAAGAGATATGACCGTAATTGATATATTGTGTGCGATCTTGAATATGTACTATATTAGTTGTTTATAAGGTTGATTTTCCTTCAGATAAGAACTACCATAATAATGGTTACTAAATTCGGTTTAAAGATCTCCGGTACCAAATTATGGCCATATCTTTTAAAACCCTTTAATAATTCTAAAAAAAGATATGATTTCATTTCAGGGCTGTCAAGAAATATGGATGAATAAACGGTAGAGTTTGGAAGATATTACATATCAGTGTTGTTTATTTGACTAAAATATTTGATCTATATGTTAAATCCTAGACATAATACCAAGTGACGGTCTTAGACAACTGATTAAAAACGAAACCGTCAACAAGAGTAAACGTTTTAGAACAATTTCAGTTCAAATCAACAGAAAATCTTATCAAAATTCACAACACAATTCTTATTATAACAGCAGTCATAGTTAAGTATACTACTCCATACTCCATACGAACATTTTATTTAACATAATTTCGCTTTTCTAAAAAACTGGTCAAGATTTCGAGACAGCCCTAACAAGTGCAACAATGAAGCCCTTGGACATGTATCCGTCTCACACATTGCCGTACTAGCGAGAGAGACAGAGATAACGTTAGAATGTGTGGCCCCACTGTCAGCAGAGGAGTCGACGATTTTTATCGATAGAAATTTTGAACGCAAACATATGTATAAGGCAAGTTACGGAGCTTATAAAATCATATTTCACACAAAATATTGCGTTTTTGAAGCTACGCGTTCATATTGGGCAACAATTTTAATTCGTGTCATCAAAGGCGGATACAATGAACACATCAAGATTAGGTACCAATTGTTTAATAATATTTTTTGGAACCTAAGAGAGACTCAAGTCAATTCATGTTTCAAAATAAATAAATGTCATGGAAAAACTCAATGGGACTCGAAAAATTAGAATTGACATATTAATTAATTTAATTTTAATAGCTAAAGTGACTGGGAATTGATTATGAAGTAGGGGTAAAAGCACCAAACACTGAAGCTCAATTTGGGAACATGTAAACATTTCCTACCGCTCGCAGTGAGACCTCACCCTCATTCTTGCACTTTCATTCTCAATAACAAAAAAAACAGCGTTTTAAAAACGCTTCCGCCCTACTTATGTAGGTAACTTACCAACATACACATTTTGTGTGTACATTGCACCGGATAATCACTTTTATTTACGTAAAAACAAAACTTAAAAAAAAATATTCAACTATATTAAATCTATATGAATAGAAGCTGAACCGCCTAACGAGTGACAAAATAATAAATAAGTTCAGGAGGCCTGTGGCGTCCATCATTTGTACAAAAGCCGGTATTTTATCTGAAAATAATTGAGAAAGAATTGTTTAAGTACACATTTATAGAAAAAATATACACAAATACAATGTGTGTGTAGGATTAGAGGCAATGTGAATCGTTAGTCAAATAAAAATTTTCCAAAAAAAATATTTTTAGAGCACAATTTTATCTAAATGAACACAACAGTTTCTGACTACCCGGTACTCGTTGGCTGTAGAATTTACCAAAACTCAGGCGTAGTTGTGTTATGCGTTTACCAACACTTTTGTACAATAAGAATAAAAGAGGAGTGATACCACTACCTCACAAAAAAAAACTGGCGTGAACAACCATAGCGTTGTTTCGCCGTGTGAGTGAGGTTACCGGAGGCTCAATCAGTCTCTTCCCCCAATCTCTAAATCTCCAAATCCCTGATCCCTAAAAGGTCGGCAACGCATCCGTAACTCCTCTGTTGTTGCGGGTCTCCATGGGCGGTGCTGACTGCTTACCATCAGGTAATCCGTATGCTCGGTTACCGACATATCACATAAAAAAGTACTCACAGGACATAGCACTACCAGAGGCGGTGCAGATGTAGGTTGCGCGAGAGCACGGAGCGCACGTCGTGCGTGAAGCGCAGCGCGTCCAGCACGGGCAGCAAGTTCAGCAGCGCCACGTCCAGCGGGTCCGAGAACCACGACTTTATTGGGATCGCGTTGTCTGGAGACATTCAGTTGCATACGTTAAACACCTTACATCTAGGCTTTTTTGTGAGGGGAAAATCATCAAATGACTTCTCCCGCCCAAGGAATGGCGGTCAAACTATTACTGACTAAAAAACTCCATCGTACCCTCTCCATCACAAAGGGTTTCACCAACAAATTCATGACTAAAAGTATGATACTGGGGTTTACTTCCAGATTATTTGAGTCTGGAGCCGCAGCGTGATACTCAATAATCAATATATTTATTGCATTCCACAATGTGAACTTAGGTGGTAGGCACTGGTAGGGTACATAAAGATTTACATATATGTATTAGTTTTAGAGCATTTGTGGGCCCTGTGAGGCATAACAATATTTGTTTTTTTTATGATATGATATTTTGTAGTGTTCCTCGATAATTAGACTATCCAACACAAAAAGACTTGTTCAATTCGTACCAGTGATTCCGTAGATTGGCTCGTTCTGACAAAAAGTCAATGAAATAAAAGTATGTTACCTGGAAAATCCCGGTACGCGCCCGGTGAGTTGTCCAATATAAACACCCTGTTGAGGTCGTCACATATGGACGACAAATTCTTTGTGTAGGAACCGTTTTCTGCTGTGCAGTGCTGTCTGTGGAACAATCAATTAAAACATTTAAAAACATTATTTGAAGAAGTCCCTTAATTATTGCAGTTTTTTTGTCAAGTACCTATTTGCACCATGAAGATGAGTTTAAAATTACAGAAGGCCCTCACTGCAAAAGGGTTGCTAGAGACAAATTACAATGGAAAATGTTAGAGGAGGCCTTTCCCAATAGGCACACTGAATTTAAAAGAAATCGTCTAAACGAAGAAAACAAATAAGTACGTCTTAATAAGTGTGGGGAGTGCCATGCTTCGGCACGAATGGGCCGATACCACGACCTCACAGAAAACCGGCATGAAGCAACACTTCTATTTCGCCTTTGAGGTTATCGGAGGCCCAATTCTCCCCATCCTCAATCCTTAAATACCCTACCCTTAAATCCCTTATAACTCACAAGAAGCCGGCAACGCACTTGTAGTAACTTCTTTGGTACTAAGAGTGTCCATGGGCGGCGCTGATTGCTTACGATCAGGTAATCCGGCTCGTTTGCAGACATAAAGAACAAATAAATAGAAATTAATAAAGATAAGGGGGCATATTTATTATTGTTATTATAAGTTGTGAGTTGTGAGTAGCATCTTGCACGCTCCAATCCTATTTTAGCTTGCTCTGAACGGGAATAGGATTCGCGCGTAGAGCTAAACGTCCAAGGCGCCTCACCTAAGGAGTGAGGAGTCACCAGCTGATTAATTTTAACAATAAAAAGAAGTGGTATTTACCTGTAGAACCGCCGCCGTAGTATTCCTCTACCGTTGTCGAGTTTGTCGGCAACAGCGGCTCCGTAGATCTCCATCGACGCTGTGAACACCACCAGCTCGTACCATTGTGATACCTGGAGATAACAGGCGTTTTATTAGGAAGGTCTTAATTATATTTTGTATTTTCATTACATATAGCAAATAGCTTCACTAGAGGACAGACTGACACATATAAAGTTAAACCTTATGCCTTATGATATCTTTTTTGCTTGACGTTCAGAAGTGCTATTTGTGGTCTACTTGAAATAAAGAATTTGATTTATCTGTGTGTATTAGTTATATAGGTATGTGTAAGTTGTAATTTTTTTGGGTGTGGATAATCATTAGAGGTCTCTTACTGACTCAAAATCACCCTGTTTCTCTCCTGCTTCAGGCTGAGGCATGGTACATTATTTATTGTTGCTATTTTGTTTTGGATTTTAAGTTTTTTTTTGTAATTGCTTTTTTTATTACCTCCGTACACACTGTCGTGTATCTGAATTAATTTTCTTGCCATATGTCAATATGTGTATGTGCAGTAGCCGCTGCACCAATCGAAGCACACAATTTATACAAGTTTTGTTAGTTATTATAATTCTATAAATCCTATCTTAGTTTAAAAAACTAAAAAATAAGGATTTTATAAATAGCTCCTAATAAATAACTTGAATCGATAATTTTATATGACCGATGTTATTGATAAATTCGTCCTTCTTAACGTGAAGCCAAAACTGGCTTACGTAGGGGTAATCTTGAGATAACGTATGATAAAACAAGATCTCTAAATCTTGGCATTAAAATAATGTACGCAATAATTTGCAAAAATATATTGACTAAACCACGTGCTGAACCAGTTTGGAGAATCGAGTTTATTGCATAATTCGCTGAAGGAAACAACCAGGAAGTTAGCAATAAAGATTCAAGATACGTTGCTAGATAAAATTCTTGCTGAGACATCGTTTTGTTTTTATCTTTGAAAGAAATTTGGGGCCGAATTTATATGATAAAAATAAAGTTATATTCATGAAAAGTAATATTAACACATTTTAAAAATAATTATAATGTGCACAATTGGTTGGCTCAACCGGAGCGAAACCACTGCATTACAGAATATTGGCGTGAAGCAACGCATTGTTTCTTCGTGTGAGCGATGCTACCGGAGGCCCCAAATCCCTAAACCTCGAAAGGCCAGCAACCTTACGAATCTTATAGTGTTGCGTCCATGAGCAGCGGCGCCCAAAAGTCTTATGAGTGTAATTTTTTTGACATGGATGGATAAACGATTAATTTTCTAAAAGGAAGTTATTAACTATATCAACCTTAATGCGGATCATAGAACGTTTAGGGCTGAACGTTTTGTTGACAACTAGAGGGAGGTTTTTGTTCAGTAGTCAAAGATTTCCATTCCGACCGATGACAATGACGACGGCAGTTTAATTTCCGCACAAAACCAAAGTCCAGTAAGCGATGTATTTCGAAGGGCATACGAGTAATCAGTTGAGTGTTCTTTTCACTTCAAGACCTTGGAAAGAACCCGAACTATTAGCGGCCCAACAATTTGTAAGTACGAAAGGCAATTTTGCTCAACCAATTTCCGGATACAGGTACACAAAACTTGCTCAATCAGGCGTTCCTTGTTGTATGCAATCCCTTTCCACGACCTTTCTTAGGACGACCACTTAAAGAACTATGTTCAAGTGTGGGAGAGCCATGCTTCGGCACCAATGGGTCGGCTCGACCGGAGTGATACCACGGCCTCACAGAAAACCGGCGTGAAACAACAACAGCGTTGTGTTTCGCCGTGTGAGTGAGGTTACCGGAGACCACATCCTTCTCCTTCCCCAATCCCTCTTCAATCCCTAATCCCTAAACGGTCGGCAACGCACTCGTAACTCCTCTGTTGCGGGTGTCCATGGGCGGCGCTGATTGCTTACCATCAGGTTATCCGTCTGCTCGTTGGCGACCCATTACATAAAAAAAACTATCAGTATGAACTATTGCCAATATAACAATAGAATAAAACCAAGCATAGCCGCAGGAGGAACTAAATAGAAACATGTGGTTACCACGCGTCACATGTGGTTAGTATTGGATGTGTTTGTTTATATTATATATATTTTGTATATCCAGAGCATATATTTACGTTCGTCCTTCCTTAATACAAAGGAAACTTGGATTGCTAACCAATTACGGTGCGCGAACAATGTATGGGGATGCTAAACGCATACGTGACTCAATGAATTGATTTAAAAGTTTATTGCACTATTGTAATGTAAACTTTAGGTGTGTTTAGTCGATTATTTAAAACACGTGTTATAATTAACAATTACAATTTTATGGTCATACCAAGTTACCTATACGAAAATTACGTGTAAAGTATACCAAATAAGACATAATGTTGGTGGTTTATTTTTTCATAACAATTATTCATGTCTTATTTACAGATACTGTCCTAATGGACGTGGACCCATCGTCAAATTTCCTTCAAGCCTGGTTTAACCGTACAACGCATTTCTCAAGACCCCAAAAAAGCAAAAATGTACTTACTATATCCAAAAAGTAATCGACATGCGGCCTTTTATGCACGAAGAACCGCACAGGATGCTTGTCTATCGTAACTTTGAGCACAAAATCTGGTGGCGTGCCAGGTTTCACAGTCGGCCGCAGCATCGCGTCGTGATGTGAATGGATCAGCGTCTCGTCTAAATCTAGTACCAGCATTTTTCTTTTTACTAGACCTGGAAAAATAGAATTAGGTTTCAGACCAATGCTGCAATTATGAGGAATCGTCTTGGCACCAACTAATCTTGAGAAAATATTATGGCAGGTGGATTAAAATAAGTTGAAGATCGAACTCTGGAGCGCCAGAGAGACCTATTACGTCCAGTCGTTGATATGAACGAACTAGTGACGATTTAATGCATTATTTTTATATTCCGAGCAGTAAAAACTGCGCTATACAATTCTACACAAACTGGTTCAGAGATCAGTTCTATTTTGTATTTGCAGGATCATCAACTAATTATTATGAAAGTCATAAATTAATTTCGTAGGCCGAATTAAATTCCTTAGCGGGCCTTTGCCCACCAATGTTTTAAAGGCCAAACAAACAGCCATGTTACACACGCAACAAATATTTGTATGGCTTACCTACTAGATGTCGGATCTACGTATTTGTGTGTAAAATTTGTTCACATGACGTAAGTAAACAGGAAGCCTTAGAAGTATGAATGGTTTAGCTTTTTATAAACGGTGTAATTTGGATAGTAATTAGTAAATAAGGCAAGAACAGTTAGGAGTATTTATTTGTAAGATAATCTTACCTATTACCAAACTTATCGTAGGTACCTAGTAACATAGCGGCAGATCAAAATCTTGGAAATTTTATAGAAACCTACAACTTAATTAAGATTTGACTGTAGCTCCAAAATTATATAATTTCTTCTATAAGATTAGGTCTAACACGATCTTTTATTTTGAAGGCCAAGACACATTTAAGGCCGGACAGGAGAAAATAAATAAGTACTTATAGCACTTGACGTGATTACGGTCAGTTTACTATTTAACGGATATAACAAAGTATTTCGTGGTAATTATTACATAGCCAGGTACGTGTGGAAGCGCAATGATGTACCACAGCCTGGCCCGGAGCAGAAGAAGGAACTGTGGTTTTTAGTCTATAAGAATCAGGCACATTATCTCGATCATCCAATTATCCAAACTAATATTACAAACGCGAAAGTAACTCTGTCTGTCCGTCTGTATTTTCGTTACGCCTGAACTACTGAACCAATCTGTGTAATTTGGTATAGACATAGTTTGGAACTCGAGGAAGGACATAGGATAGTTTTTGTACCAACAATCTGCAGAATGTCACTATTTCACGCGAATGAAGTCGCGGGCAAAAGCTAGTAAGTTATAATTATTTAAGGTTTGAGACTAGAGCACTGATGTTTTTGCAAATAAAGCGAGTGTTTTGAAACTGTCCCCTTATGTAGCAAACACCTTAAGGCGTTGCGGTACTGGGGAATGAAATTTGGGGCATGAAGGGACAGTTGAACCCAGATTAAATTATTATTTAAGGGTGGCTTCGGGTGAAAAAAGGGTCGTGGTACGATTCGAAGTTTTGATCAAGAAAGCAGACGCAGTTATGTTGTTAGCTGTTTTTCAAATCATTCGTAATAGGAACATTACACTTTTTATTTCATCGAAAAGGATTTAACGTGAGACACGAATGGATCTACAGGATACAATCAACGACTATAAGACATTCAAACTAGAAAAACCATAGCGCAAGAGGACGCTCAAAGATTTTATGCTAAGGCCAGCGATCACATTGCCATACGTAATTTCAATCAGTTTAACAATTGCATTGTATTGAAGAACTATGCACACTGACACTAACGTAGTGTAGCCGCTGCATATATAGGAATTTTTTCGATATTTCGTTTGGTCTACCGCCATCTGAACTATCACCTAACGCCTAATAACAAAGTTAATGGCATTGTCAAATTATCGCGTACGACTTAACGCATTTACCCTACGGTTAACATACATTATTGCGATAATTAATGGCATTCCTCGTTATTATGGCCCGTGCATAAGCAGTATTTGCTATATTGATTTACTCTTGTGTCACAGCTGCCCAAAATGTGGTTTGACCTCCAAAATAGAGATCGTTTTAGAGCTATCAAAATAAAAACCTCTGGAATATCCCAATTCAAAACTCTGGGGCGAAGTAAATTTTTTGCTTGGGATACACATCGGTATTTTATTAGAAATACCGGTCCACACAAACGCAAAAGCCACGGACTCCTACAATACACCAAGCTTAATATACTACTTAACACATCAATCGAGAAGTGCTATGGACCAAAAATATCAAAAATGCACACCATTATTGTCAACTAACGCAGCCAACTTGTCTGTTGGCTCCAGACAGATAAATAAGCTTATAGATCAAAATGATAGTAAAGTGACATGTGGTACAACAAAACTGTTTGATTTTGACGCAATAGATGATAAAAATGTTTACCTATTTATACCAAAATGCAATGTACACATTGATAACACGTGTTTATATATTTTTAGAAGGAAAAGTTATGCAATAGCTTATTAGATGCTGGAGGACATCTGGTTTTTATTCTTGTTATCTTACAATGAAGAAAATTTTAACTTTGTATAATGTTTAAAAAATTTGCAAAGGCTTTTAGGGCGCCAGACACTAGAGGCACAAGCAGAAAATGTGGTCGGTACATAATACTGAAATATATAATATACAATATCATGCTTATAAAAAACAATTAGTATAAATGGTAATCTTGCTTTTTTCTCATTATAGAGACATAAAAATCGTTTTTAACTCATAGATCTGTGTACAATTATAACTTGTAGTCACTAGCTATATTACATTCCGAAATTTAATAAATCTGCAGTAGTAACCTGACCAGAGTTCCAATGTCAGTGCCTTTGACTGACAACAGAAAATCGAATCTACACCTACAACATTTTCTACATTGTTTCAACTATTATCACATTTTAGCCAGTATTTAAAATAACAATAATATTCAATGTCAATTCTTAAAATCTTGCAACTTATGATGACATTTATAAACTGAGAATGATAAGAAATTTGTTTAATATAGTGTACTACAATTTGAAATCATTAATGCTAAGAATAAATAAATATATTCACAGAAAAATATCCTTGTATTTTTTTTGCATACTTTTATCTTGAATTCCTGCTCTATTTATACTGTACTGTGTGTATATTATTATAGATAATATTGATATTATAAAGGTGAAAAAAAATTACCTGTTTTTTTTTCAATAAATTGGCTCAAAGAGAAAAGACATAATTATTTTACAATGGCACAAAAAATTATAAAAATGAATGGAATTCTGTATAATTGTTTTATCATATTTTTAAATGTACACCATTTAATATTAACTACTACAGCCGTTTTGGTGTATAAAAAAGACATATATATAACTCATTATAGCAACTATCTATTAATATTATTATACAAACATGTTAAAAAACCTAATCTGCTTATTCAGAATGACTCATCTTCTTTTTGTTCACTTAACTTGAGTGTTACTATTTTAGAATCAAGGATTAAAGTACAAATTCGCTGGTTATTTTCACATTAGGACTTAAGTTAAATAACGCAAATTTTCGCAGATTGACACTGTTGAAATAAATCCTACTAATATTAAATTTAATTTGTGATAGTTTGTAAGAATTTGGCTGTTTCTTTATTCTTTCACGGAAAACTGGCTGGATTGGTTGAATTTAAGTATGTAGATAGGTAATACTCTGGATTAACACATAGGTTTTTTAACAACATACCATGCAGGCAGAAATCGAGTACCATAATGTCAAGTACGGGAATTATCATAATTTGAGAATGTTACTGTATAGGTGTAATTTTAAACCAAATTTTAATGCCTATGAATATTTGAATTAACAGAGCCATTTTCTGGGATCTGTTCCTTTGTTAAGATTCCATCACATTCATATATTTAAACTTTCTGTTTGTGGTATCTAGTGTCCATCCTATTTGCATATTTTTTGGTCTATTCCTCGCTATGATTATCTCTAGTGTCTTGGATGCATTTGCATACATAAAATTTTACATTCACATCACACCTAATGCACATTTCTACCTGTTGCATAAACAGTATATAATATGGTATTATGTAAATGAGCCTTAAACGCAACGATTGTTCCTATAGCTTCAAAAAAATATTGTTATGTATAAAATGTAGGAGAGCCATGCTTCGGCACAAATGATCTCGCGAAATTGGATTGATATCAGAAAAGTTTGCAACTATAGCCATCTCTATTGTAAATTTTGAGTGATGCAGAAAACACATTTTTTGTGTAGATGTTCGGTAAAGTAATTTTGCCATGTACATATTATATGAACTAATATTATTTCTGTTTAATAGAAATTAACTTACATAGGGAAAACAGATATGTTATTATGATTGATTGTTATTTAGATTGGTATGAAGAAGTTTAAGATACCCTAATGAATATAACAATAATACCTAGATATATTTATTATTTACTTTCGTTCTACCTAAAGTAGAGTACATAACCTCTGAATATTTGTGAAAAAAAAAAAATATCATTGATTGATGAAAATGGTCATAAGTAACGATAAAAAATAAAAAGTCAGATATTTTTTTTTTGTTTTCATGGCAATAATAATACTTTAAATAAGATAGATATAGAACACTATTCAACTGACAGAAAATACTTTTTTTGTATAACCTATATCATTACTTTAAAAGATAATATACAGACGGACAGTAAAGGTGTTAATTACATGAAGGTGGTCATTAGATGACACTTTATTGTTAGCTCTTGGCTATAAGACATTTTATTTAGTTACTTTTGATATTTTTATTAAGAGCAGTAGTGGGAATTTTTTTAAATTTAAAGTTATATTTTCTAATACGCATTGGAGAGTTCAATAAGAAATTGCATATGATTATATGATATTCATAGAGAATATAAACTTAAAATAAAAAGGTAGTCTCTTGTTTACATTTCTTATTAGAATATAATCGTGTGTTAGACAGGACGGGAAGTTAATGATAATATTTACATATTTGTGATAACTACGATGGTCGCAAATCATACGATATATCGTTTTAATATTAAAAGCGATAAAAAAAGATAGTAAATACTCACTCAGCCTGTGTCTAGATACGGGCGAAAGCGGATACATCTCATATTTGACGGATTGATATTGAGCCAACTGAAAACCAAATGCCACGTGAGATTTTTATGCACCTGCGTAAAACCATAATATTACACAATAAGGCACACATTTTTATTTATATTTACCGCTCGATATTGCTTCTTAAACATATAACAAAAACAACTCCATACTTTTGATGCGAGCAGCATGAACGCGCGAAGGCCCATTTGCAACCGTTTCAGCATTTGAATAGTTTATAAAAAGGTCACTAATATACAAATAAGCTTATTTTTAAACGACAGCGTTTCAAACGAGATCATTGACGGCGTAATTCAAAACAAATTCAATAAAATCAACTGCCGAAAACATCTAACCCGCCATGACATAATCGACCCAATTCGCATGCCATAAGCTAAACAGACTTTTCCTTTCAAATTTGTCTATGCTGGTTAGTGAAGCGCCATTTAAATAACCGATTTTACCAATACCGATTTTTACGATTTTTTTTTTATTTTTGTAGCATTACTGATTAAAATTGTGATTTTTAACCATACTAATTTTATTATAACTTATTATAAGTTTAGCAGTTTATTTACTATGACCGTATTTATTTAATGCAAAATCAAAAAAATATTGTAGATAGTAAACCGATTCAACAGTAGTACTACCTACACTATACATATAGGCAACATTGACTGTAGTAAAAGATAAGAAGAGAAAGAAGAAGCTACAGTGAAGAACTCAAGAATATTTTATTTAATCCGGATCCGGGTATCAGATCCATAATATATCTTTTCTTATTTTCAAAAACGATGTTCTAAACATAGAGGAATTTATAATAATAATAATAATAACCCTCTCACCTCATTCTTGCCTTAATTGGCTGGCTTGAGTGGAGATTCGCAAGAGTAGGAGTTGAAGGAGACTCGGGGGAAGGATGTATCTCAGTAAGATGCTGGTAGGGGTCTTGACCGTACTTCCGGGATTGCTCTGATAGCCGTGGGATGCCTCTCCTTCCCCAAGCAGCTCAACGTATGTTGCCCCCGTGTCGCTACATGCTAGCGGCCGTTTCCGGGGGCCCATTAATTGAGTTTGCCAGTCACCCCCTGCCTGTTTATCCGTATGTATCAATATTGGTCAGGGGCAGGGGCTATAGTATTTCCATAGTTTTCATCCACTAGTCCATAGCAACCCATACCCATAACCTTATAAATTTTTACCACATTTCGCAATAGTCCTCCATCAACCGGGGATTGTCCTTGGGTGCACTTTCATAGTGCATACAGGGATAACTGCCGGCTGATGTCCCATTTCACTTATATTAAAGTTGTTCAAAGGGCCTCTGCGAGTTGGCTTCGGCCCCTCGTACGCCTTCCAAAAGTCCGGGACCCTGTGGTCCCGTGAGTGGAAAGGAACATACATGTAATAATAATAAAAGTTCGTTATCAGGCGGCAACAAGGTACGCGCCTTTAACGGTTGGGTCATGCCGGTCCTGATGTATTCTTTTGGCATACTCAAATGGACTCAGACTGAACTTGACACCCTGGATAGACGAGTCCGGACGCTGCTGACTGCAAATCGAATGCATCATCCTCGTTCATCAGTCATGAGGTTGTACATCCCGCGGAAGTGTGGGGGTCGAGGCTTTCTAAACGCTAAGACCCTTCACAACAGTGAGGTGTGCAATCTCAGGGAACATTTCCTGAAAGTGGACGAGGATATGCATCGAGAAGTAGTCACAGTGGACAAGGGATTCACACCACTATCCTTGGCTAAAGAGAACTGGTGTAAACCCGTAGTGCTGAGCGTCAATGACCGCAAGGCGGTATGGAGTAGCAAGGAGCTCCACGGACGCTTCTTTCGGGCTCTCCACGGGCCCGATATAGATTTTCTAGCGTCCGTAGCTTGGCTACGATTCAGTAACCTCTTCGGAGAAACTGAAGGATTTGTATGTGCAATTATGGACGAAGTTATCCTCACGAATAACTACCGGAAATATATTATGAAGGATGGGACGGTTGACATATGTCGGGCATGTCATAGCTCCGGTGAATCCATCAGACATATTATTTCCGGCTGTGGTCGTTTGGCTAATGGCGAATACTTGCACAGACATAATCAGGTGGCCAAGATTATTCATCAGCAACTTGCTTTGAAATACCGGCTTGTTGAGTCTGAGGTCCCGTACTACAAGTATGTGCCCGACCCAGTTCTCGAAAAAGACCATATCACATTGTACTGGGATCGGTCTATCATCACAGACAGGACTATTGTAGCCAATAAGCCTGACATAGTGGTGGTAGACCGACTAGCGCGTCGCACGACGATAATCGATGTTGCCATTCCTCATGACGAGAACCTCGTGAAAGCTGAGAAAGATAAACAATTGAAATATCTTGACTTAGCTCACGAGGTTGTTGACATGTGGAATGTGGACTCGGCCATCGTTGTGCCGATAGTTGTGTCGGCAAACGGGTTAGTCCCCAAAAGCCTCAACAACCACCTTAAGAGGCTGACGTTAGGCGGATGGATCAAGGGCCTCATACAGAAGGCAGTCCTCCTTGAAACGGCACGTATTGTGAGGAGGTTCTTGTCTCTGGAGCCCTAACCGCCGGCAGCTTGGACCTTGCTCCCGCTGCCAGCTGGCTCCTACTTTTATATTTTTAAATATTATTTTATTTTATAGTAATATTTAAAAATGTAATTTTAGAGCGATTTTAATAAATATATGTAAATAATAATAAATCCGCAAGGCAGCTTGTGGCGAGCTGTTGGGCAGTGGCGACCCCACGGACCTGACTCCCGGGAGGTGTCTTGTTCTTCATCTCCGGTTTGTCCGCGTGACGAGCTGGAGTGAAAACTGATGAAGAACAAGCCCTCCTACCTCATTCTTGCCTTAATTGGCTGGCTTGAGTGGAGATTCGCAAGAGTAGGAGTTGAAGGAGACTCGGGGGAAGGATGTGTCTCAGTAAGGTGCTGGTAGGGGTCTTGACCGTACTTCCGGGATTGCTCTGATAGCCGTGGGATGCCTCTCCTTCCCCAAGCAGCTCAACGTATGTTGCCCCCGTGTTGCTACATGCTAGCGGCCGTTTTCGGGGGCCCATTAATTGAGTTTGCCAGTCACCCCCTGCCTGTTTATCCGTATGTATCAATATTGGTCAGGGGCAGGGGCCATAGTATTTCCATAGTTATCATATCCACCAGTCCATAGCAACCCATACCTATAACCCTATCAATTTTTACCACATTTCACAATAGCCCTGCATCAACCGGGGATTGTCCTTGGGTGCACTTTTATAGTGCATACAGGGATAATTGCCGGCTGATGTCCCATCACATTTAGATTAAAATTGTTAAACGGGCCTCTGCGTGTTGGCTTCGGCTCCTCGTACGCCTTCCAAAGGTCCGGGATCCTGTGATCCCATGAAAGGTAACGAACAAACAATAATAATAATAAATAATTTATTTCAGAATTGCTTCCATAATTTGTTAGTAACAATGTTCTTAGCCTAAGTTAGTAATAGTATAATACAAATAAGAACAAAACAAAACAAAATCAATGAAAATATTTTAGGCACTTGCTTTTGCATTTATTATACTTTTCTGTAGTGTAACGTACTAAACTTGTTTTGTGATAATAGCGATTGTCTTTGTCATTTATCGGGGATGCGTCCACAAAAAGATTAATATTAGGTACCATCACACTAAACTCGGTTTAATATATTGCGGATAAAACAGAAAGCTATTATGAGCAGGAATCGAACCCATGTAATATAGCTTTGCAGTCAATTACCACGCCCCTGCACCAATCGTATGCTTACCAATTAGCTTAATCTTTGTGCTTAGTAGATTTAATTTTATGAACGCTATTAATCTTAATGGAAATGGCAATACTATGACAATGAAACTATTGTTATTTTTTAGAAATCTTTTATTCTAAAATTAATTTCCTGTGACACAAAATCCTGGGCCGTTAGGTGGCTGAGCGTGTATACCGCGACGATTCATGCGACACGCATGTTCTTCTAGCCGGCTGCTAACTTGATGTGATGAGTCTTCTCTAAATTGATACCAGTGCCTTAAATATGGCATTGTATCGTATTTGTGACCACTCCATAAAGCTTCAGCTACAGCACTTGCACGAGGCCATACTCTGAAAATGCCAATAACTAACTATAAGTGCCTACGTATTTATATTATACGTTGAATCAAGAATTAGGACGCGTTAATCTGAGTCGGTTTTGTCTGTTGGAACCATTGCGAGATATCCTGGTACAAAGAAAGATATTAAACATTTGTTTTCCGAAGGTTTCGAACCGAACGGGAAGTGCTACTATAAAAGTACTGACAGATTAAGTACAGACACCTAGCCACGCTAGCTAAGTTTTTTTCCACCAATATCTCCGAAACTGTTTTATTGTATACGCTCAATAGTCGCTTTTTGTAAGGTTACTATTTATTTTCAATTAACTTTTTTTTTGTAATATTCTGTTGTACTGTTTTTATGTCTTAAGCAAAAGGTTATGTGGGGCTGTCTTATATTAAAAAAGTGGCTAAAATAAATCAAGAGAAAATAAAACAAAGAGGTAATTAAAAGTTCCTAAAGTATTCGAGTAAGTGGCATGTTGTCGTTTTACGTGGAGGACTAAGGGGGATGCCTTTACTTAGAAGTGGACGTCTTCTAGCTGATGAGGACGATGAAAGTATTCATTCTTAATATAGCCGTACCTGCTAATTATATTTGTGTCATCCACTACCTCATTCCACATACAAGCTTCGCCTCCCAGAACATCGATTTCTTTATCTTCAGGGACACTTCCTTTAACTATTTCACGAGGATCAACTCCATAGTATTTGGACCAGTCCCCACCACCATTAATATGATCTAGGTACCACGATGATGAATATATTACTTTATAACCACCATTTAGAATCTGCAAATAAAGAAAGACTATTAGTTTTGATGCTTGATTTTAGTTAATTCAACTTTCATAATAACAGCGCTCTTCATGAAACAAAGGTTATACAACTTAATATGTACAAAGGTCTCCAGAAGCCAAACCGTATTAAAAATAATCTCAACTAACATTTTGCATTTCTCTAGCCTCCGTGTTCTTCCATACTTGCACGATTGTGCCGTTAGGTAGACTCACGCCCTCATCAAATACTTCCTGAAAATAATTACCAAGATTTATTTATTATCAATTAATAACGCATATAGAGAAAAAGATAGCAAATCTAATGAAACAATCAGTGTTGGACTGACATTTAAATCACAGTACTTACTTGCCACACAATTGGTTTAGACCTATCTCCCAGCAGTGGGATTACATTGGCCATGAAATATGAGTGTAGTTCACTGGCATCTGTCATGTTGTGATCTTTCATGAAGTCACGGATTTCAGAATTTGATAGCCTGAAAAAAATAACAATTAGAAGTTTTTTTTTGTTCATAGTAGACTTTTTATTCTCCATTTATTTAAATCAGTGTAAGCCGATGCTACAATACACTCACCAACAGTCCAGTTCGACTTCGTCTCCACCAACATGAAAATATTTATCCGGGAACCGTTCTTGGACCTCGCGGAATAATTCACCAATCAGTTTGTAGGTGATGTTTTTCGTAGGGTCCATTGGACCCAAACCCAATTCTTGTCCGAGACTGTAGCATTTAGTTAAAATGTTTGGGTAAGCAACGCCCCAGGAGCTGGTATGGCCTAATTAAAACAGTTTGAAATATAGTTAAATATTGCGTCTTGCTATGTCCATATAGTGAATAGTAGAATATAAGTTTCGGGTTTACCTGGAACATCGAACTCTGGTAGCACACGTATCCCTCTACGCCTTGCGTGGGATACAACTTGATTGATGTCCACTGCAGTGTATACCATGGTCTGATCATATGCTGCATCACTAAAATGACAGGGAAATGTGCTCAAATCGTAACAGCCGCAAAAAATCATATAAGTACGTGAATTACTTACCTTAATTGAGGAAATATATCGCTCTTATAAGGGAAGCTCTGGTCATCTACAATATGCCAATGAAAAACGTTCAACTTGTTCATTTCCATGGCATCTAATGTTTTGAGTAAAGTAGGTACAGTTATGTAATGTCTTGATGTATCAACGAGAAGACCTCGGTGCGTGTACTTTGGAAAATCTTGAATTTGTGTTGCGTTGATATAAACATTCTGGAAGTTAAAAAATCATGGATGGCAAAGCATTTTTTCTTAAATAAATCTGGAAATAAGGTGCAAAATCTTACTTTGTATCCGTCTGACATGTAAAACAGTTGCACGAAAGACTCGAGCCCTCTGAGGACGCCCCATATGGAGTCACTGTTCAAGATCGAGACTGTGGCAACATCAAGGCTGTCTGAAATAATTAGTAAAATAGTTTTACTCGGTAAGTATTTTTTACTAACAATTAACTGCATTTACATTTATATACACATTGGGGTATAGATCATATCATCTGCACACAGGAAGCAAAACTAGCTAGAAAAGTTTTAAACTACCTAATTAATATTTCTTTTCGACAAAATCCCAGAACTATTAAGATAAAATATTCCCGCCTTTGTTTACGAGAACACTTCAATAAAGATTGTATTGCGCAAACGTCGATGTTGAGTGTAAAGCTGATCTTAGGGTCACGATGCCATTTCTTATCAATAACAAACAACAATGTGTTTCCAAGCATAGGTACAAATGGATTTAGGTATGTATTTGTAATAATTCTCTCTCAATATATTATTATATTACTATGCAGAATTTAATGTGCCAGTTAATTAATCCTCAAGGGAAGAGATCCTCAAAGGACATACGAATCACATGATGGTAAACGCCCATGGATAGACCTAACACCAGCATTACTACAGGAGTGCACGCGTTTTCACTACTACTTTACTTCAGGTCAGGTCAGAAAAAAGGTTCTTAGTATAGAAAAAAAAGAAAATTAAAGAGGCAAACCGGCAGAATGCAACCTAATTGGCGCTGTAACGCTTTGCTTACTTATCTAATGACTGACAATGAGGCAGTTGGACATCTCTTCGAAGAAGGTGCGAGTGGCTAGGTATGTATATAATAAGTGGAAGTTAAACAAGGTTATCCAAACAAATATATGGACGGAGTGCACAAAACGCACAAATCATCATCATTATTAAAAGCCCTCGACGTTTAATTACCGGGCTATGGGTCTTCTTTATTTTAATATAATACATTTCCACGAACTTCACACTTTGCAGGCAGGTTTATCATGAGAGATATATTTTTTTATCATAGGTATTATCGGACGTTCCCCAAGATGAAAAATAAAAACAAACCTTATTTGTGATAACGATGGTTTCGAAATCGATTAGGAAAATACAGATATGCCGTTGAGTCAGATGACTTTTTGTGTCCCATAGTCTTTTTTATACAAAGTAAACATTTTGATGTCATTAGCACTTTGATTGTGGTCACGATTAAGTTTAAATCGTTTTCCTTGTGCAAAACATGCTTCGATACAATTCGTACCAATCTAATATAGCCGTAATTGCGGGCGTTAGCGCATTTATGTCCCGCAGTCTGCGCTTAGAACAGAGTAAAGTATCAGGATGGTATTAAGCCAGTTAGAGCTCTCGCCCTAAACAAGGCGGTAGACGTTACCCTTACCTTAAAAAACTCCAAATTTTTAATTTATGGAAAATTTTACTCTTTAGGTATAGCCTTTATTCTATCCTGATGACAAAAATTTAACCCTATACCTATTTGGTTTGTTATGGTAGATAAAACTTACATTTCTCATCCATATCCAAATGTGGATAAGTTTCACATGGTGCAGTCAGGTTAATTTGTAGTTCTTGCAGTGATCCCTTAAAGTTGGGATCGGAATGATCAACGTCACCTTCACGTTTTGGTAGTTTTCTTGAATACTTTTCAACTATTACGAAGGTATTCCTCAATACATTCATATACCGATCAATTGCATCTTTTAATATATCGCATGTTTTTCCTTTTTTCTGCAATCAGTATTGTTCATATTGTAGTCATTTACCAATGTAACGATTCAACGAGCTGTTATCGCAATCTTTGTTAGCTGGTACAGCAGTCTCGCAAGGTATGAGAATATAACAGATAGTACTAAGAATAAATAATAAAAATAAGTGTTTTTATTGTTTAACATTCTTTAACATTCTAGTGTAAGCATTTTAAAAATGAGTGGTTGACTTTTAATGACTGCACGGTCGGTGCGGTGGCCGGGCAACTGGCTGCCGTGCAACGTATCGCGGGTTCGATTCCCGCACGGGACAACTCTTTGCGTGATCCACAAATTGTTGTTCCTAGTCTGGGTGTCATGTGCACGTGAAATTGTATGTTTGTAACCGCACCCACGACACAGGAGAATATCCTAGTGTGAGGCAACGTTAAAAAAATTTAAAAAAAACTGCTGAACTCAACCTCATGGGTGTGGGGAATTACCAACCTTATAAGACACCAGTAGTAAGTGAATATGTAATTGTACCAGGTTTTTGTGGTTGTAAAAAATGATGGCATCATTTAAGGAGACGGGAGCTCCCCAAATATGATCGTGCAAATAAAAACGCGCGCACACTGTCGTGAAGTGGTGATATTGCACGATTGATCTCTGATGTTGCAAGTGTTGGTCGGTTGTGACTGCTTACCATTAGGGAGCTTCGGTACCGATAGTATTTGGTATAAAATATACTACATCGATGTAATAACAATTGAATTGTATGAAGCGTCCGGAGGCTACCTGGACCTGGTAGTCTGTAGTACAGGTCTGACACCAGTCTCTACGATTGAAACATCTAAGCACTTTGTAATTGTAGTGCTTATGAGTAAATTAAGACATTAAATTATATTGTTATATTTACATTATAAAAGCAAAATTTATTTAACGTTTCGCTCTAAGGAACAACTCTTTTTGTGATCTGTCTGGGTGTAATGTAAATATGAATTATTTGCAAAAACTTTGATCACACAGGAGATAAATCTCATTAGAAGCTACTTAAAAAGCTTAATAATTGTACGGTAGGTACAAACAAGTGAAAGTGTGAAACATTTTAGTAATAACTTTTCCGATTTAGGTATATCTACTTTCTAAGTTTATTTGGACACCACTAACAAATATTGAAGGAATGACTTTAAAATCCCCAATCCAATTTGAGCAATCGTGGTGCAATTCAAGCTTAGACCTTCTCCGTGTAAGAAGAGACCTTTGCTCAAGCGTAGGCAATAGGCATTATAGGCCGAAAACTTATAGTGTGAAGATGATGCATGATGATGATAATAACATAAGTCGTCGCATTAGTAAATTGAGCTAATATATTGTTGCTATTGTAATAAAGTTTATCCCATTAAATGCATGTTATACACTTCGATTTTAGCAGAGCAATTTAACCAAGTGAATATGTATATAAGACAGGAGGATGATAATGTAAAAGTACAAAACTTATAGGCTTACCGTAATAACAAAAGTAGATGGATTTAATTTATAATATGTATCTGTTTGCGTCTGTTGATAAGGCCTTGGCCATATTGACCCCTTCGTTGGTGGGTATTGAGGTCCAGGGTGAACGATACTTAAACTTTCCGTCAAATAAACAAAAATCGCGAAAAACAATATTAAGTGCCGTAACATTTTTGCGACAAAATATTAATAATGCTGCTTCGTACGCAGTACTTTACAAACTGTTTCCTCATTTGTATTTTCATCATTATATAGACAATATCGTCAACGTTGATAAGACGGTTGCAACCGGTTTTGAATCATCACAAATAACTGATTTAGTTTCTTGTATGTAAGTTGTTGGTTTTATTTCACGCTACGTTACCTTACATTAGAATCTCGAATCGCGGGAGGTTTTACATTCAATTATCACATCCAGACTAAAATCACAAATTTTTTGATCACCTAAAAATTGTTCGCTTTGGGAAACTTACCCGTAACACTATTACTTATATGGCAGTTACACTGATAACTTGTATACACGTATCGTAAAGGCTCCGCCAAGGACCCAGGAACATTTACTTTTTCTTAGTAAAAAATAATAATAAGTGTGATAGGTAATTTCTTTCCAACATTTTTGGGACACGCGCGGCATGCTACGTACCTTACGCTCAGGTCGGATTCTGGTCGGGTGTCGACCTACCCTTGCTAGCCGTGTGCAGACCCACAGGTCTGCTTAGCAATGGCTGTAGATCCCGATCCTGATGCAACACCCAGACTGTCGCCTGCTGCAGCTGCTAGGACGAGAGGAGGATAGTTCCTCCACGCAGATGGCCTCCTTCTCTACGAGCTTCACTGCTTTGCAGAGCGAGGAGACGGGCAGTTTTTGTCGCTCCGCACCATGGACTTGACTAAGTCCGAGCGCGATCTTCGCCGCTGCCGTTCACTTCCATAATGAATCGGTGGTGCTCAGCCCAAGCAGGTACACCGCCACCGTATGCTCCACCGTGTCCTCTGGATGCTCCTTACAATGACGATATCCGGGCGTTTTCTCCCACTGGATCCGAAATAGATACTTACCGAAGCTTCCGCGTCCGGTATCATTTCATAATTTAAGTACCTCTTGACATTAACAATTTTCGTTAACATTATTCTGTGGAAGAAGACCCGCTAGCCTCCAAGTTTTTCTTAATACACAATTTAAATTTGTTCTCATTAAATTTTTGTATTTCACCTGGGATTTTATTGTAATATTTACCACAGAATCTCACGAACGACTTGTGTACCCACTCTAGTTCGGTAGTCGTGTTTGCCAGATACTTTATAAAATCATTGTAGGCACGACCTACCGTAAGTTCGGGTTACTTTGACCCTGGGAGGTAACTTTAATCCAAATTTTCAAACCAATGAAAAACGAATATATGTTTGGTTCTCAGTTATTATTGGGTTTGGATCAAAGTTACGCCGCAGGTTCAAAGTAACCGGAACTTACCCGGTATCTTATAGATAGCTCTGACGGCTCGCTTTTGTTTTGATAAAGAAAGACTCAATGTCACATGCCTGTCTCCACAACAGATTTCCATACAACATGATACTACGAAAGCAAATGAAAAAGGTACACTAATCTTGCCGTGCCGAAGTCGTTAGCCGTGGGATCTTGTAGACAGCATAAACTGTAGAGCGTAATCGTTTGCAGATATCTGGTGTGGAACCCTCATTCCAGCTTGTCGCCTACCGTATTAGTTTTGCCTTTTTATAATATGTCATCACATTCATGCATTTTGTCTTTTTTTACGTTTAGTACTATGTGGTTCTTTGTGAACTAATTTTGAGCCTCCATTAAAGCATTATCAAATTCGTGAATTATTTATTTAAAAAAACAGCGATATATCGTCATCGAATAATACCTAAGATATGTGTTTCATTTTGGAATAAAATTATTCACGTGTACCAGAACTAGGAATGGACCTAATATTGAGCCCTGCGGTACACATATAATATGCTAGCATCCCGTGAGTTCACTTTTGTGTTGTGATTTTTCCACAAGGCGGAACCCTTTTTCATAAATTATGGCATCCTTAAGAATCAACCTTTTAAATACTTTATTGGAAAAATAGACACCGGCTTATAGTTATTAGGTACTGTAGTATCACCTTATTTAAACAATGGTACTACTTTACTATGTTTCATTCAATCTGGGAAAAAATGAATGTTAAACGTGGTATATAGTCATAATGTGTGGACCAGACAGATAAATCCAACATCCGAGCGGAGAAATCAAGATGGTTAAGGATGTTTAGGTAAGTCAAAAGAATACCTGGCTGTAACTATGGAAAGTGGAAACTAGTAATAACAATAAAATAGTAATATTAACTTCTCATATTGGCTCATACAATCCATTTTATATCGGCTACGTGTGATTACGTGTAAGTGCTAGTAATTTTACCGGTTTTCTATGTACAACACTATCGTTGCGATAATTGTTGCTATAGCTAAAAATAATTTCGAATCTGTAGACATCTAATATTGACGTTTCGATTTCGATTCGACGTTTCATTTTGGGGGCGGGTATCGCCACTTTAATGTTCTAGCGAATTTAGGAAAAATGAGATAATTTAGCATTTTATGTTAGTTTGAGGATATAAAAATATTTCATTAAACTAATGTTACTATCTACAACACCTTAGGTGAGTACAGAAGGTGTTTATGTTTGTCTAATATCAGTATTACATTGGGTGTTTTATTGGCCGTATCCTGTCCTATTGATTCATAATCACTCCAATTCCTTCAAGTAGTTCCGCGTACTGTCTTTGCTTTAGTAAAGATGAGACTTGACGTGTAACATTTATGTATTTGTTATATGAGCTATGATTTGCGGGTAGCTTTTGGCAAACCACCAGACCGAAAAATCATTACGTCGGCGAAGAAGAGGAATCCATGTCTTAAAAATGTGAATAAAAACTGACATACTGAAAATCTGTACGTGTTTTCAGGTTTCTATCAAGATGATTGGGGGCCTGTTCGTGTACAACCACAAGGGCGAAGTCCTGATATCACGGGTGTACCGTGATGATATCGGACGGAATGCCGTGGATGCGTTCAGAGTGAACGTGATCCATGCAAGGCAGCAAGTGCGCTCGCCCGTCACTAACATCGCTAGAACTTCCTTCTTTCATATTAAGGTAAGTTCTTCATATGTGTAAGTCTTTGTAATTCCAAGCGACATTGTCAAAACTGTCTTCAAAGTTGAATATCTCAAAAATACCCTTACATAATTGATTAAAAGACTTGTATACAATATTAATAAACAAGCTGAAAAGGGGGCGGTTTTACAAACAATTTAATTAAAAGACACAAGTACTGATAAGGATTTTTTCACTATTCTAATGTACAGAGAGCCAATATCTGGCTGGCAGCTGTGACCAAGCAGAATGTGAATGCTGCTATGGTGTTTGAGTTCCTGTTGAAGATTATAGATGTGATGCAATCTTACTTTGGCAAGATCTCGGAGGAGAACATCAAGAACAACTTTGTGCTTATCTACGAGTTGTTGGATGGTATGTGTTAAGTTATATGGTAAAAGTCTTATTCTTGCTTTGTTCTAAATTTCTTTCAAATGCCTAGATAGAGTTTGTCTGCTCAGTAAAAATATCCTATAAGAATGCTATTGAGGTTAACTCAAAAAGGTCCTATATATTCTGGTATATCATTGTTTCTGTTTTTTTTGAGGGAACAAAGTCCTACTGTTTCTGGTGTCAGAATCTTACTTGTTAATTGTACAATTTACTAATGTGAATTTTTTTAGTTGTTAGTCTGACTTTACTACTATATTGATAATCTTTTTGACATAGCTTCCAATAGTTTTTTTTTATTTGAAATCAACCTCATTCTTACATCAATTTTGTAGCTAGAGAAATAAATAAGTTTTATGTCTTTACAGAAATCTTGGACTTTGGTTACCCTCAGAACTCGGACACAGGAGTCCTGAAGACATTCATTACCCAGCAGGGAATTAAATCTGCATCCAAAGAAGAACAGGCTCAAATCACTTCACAAGTAAGAAAAGAACTTCATATGGAATTGACAATTATTCAAATTTATGCTTTATCGAAACCTAAACAAGCTTGTATTTTTAACCGACTTCATTTATGAACTTTTTTAATGGGATGTGTTTGTTACATACAGGTGACTGGTCAAATTGGATGGCGTCGCGAAGGCATTAAATACAGACGCAATGAGCTCTTCCTGGATGTACTGGAGTATGTCAACCTCCTCATGTCTCCTCAAGGTATTTTTGACTATAATATTTTTTACTATAGTATTCAGAGCTTACCCTGTCGAGTAAGACATGTGTGGATCAGATATACATAGTAGTACGTAGTAACTGAGTTTGTTTCAGCATTTCTTCTCAGAGTAGTCAGATAGGAAATTCTGGTGTCATCTAGTTTTTTAATTTATAATTTTGATGTGTAAAAGTGCTGTTTTATGGTCTATTTACAAAAATAAAATCGTGGTTTCATTGTATTACCAATAATACTTAGATGCTCAAACTAATAAAAAAAATGAACCTTGAAGCTAATTCTAACCATGAAGTTGATATCATTTTCAAAATTGCTAATCCTAAAGGTATAAAAGGGTTGAAAAAGGTTATGCAAATATTATTTTTAGTCTGAACACAAATTATAAGTACCTACATATTATGTTCATGTCCAATGTTCAAAAGATATTTATTCACAGGTTTTACGATGTATGTCTAAGCTTCTATTGGTGTTGTTTTTATTTACAGGTCAAGTGCTGTCAGCTCATGTTGCCGGAAAAGTAGTGATGAAGTCCTATCTGTCTGGCATGCCCGAGTGCAAGTTTGGTATCAATGACAAGATTGTCATGGAAGCTAAGGGGAAAGGCAATGGTGAGTTTCTTTTCACATTTTAGGGTTTCTTTTTACTTATATTCTCACATGCCAGGAAAATAAAATAGATTATATAGTAAACTAGCTACTCTCCCGCGGTTCCACCCGCTGCTCGGCTCCATTTGATGGTAGCGTGATGTTTTAGAACCTATAGCCACTCAGGAACACAGACACAGTACAAAAATACTAACTTACAAATGTTACCTCTTTATAATATTAGTATGTATTACTTACTTTTATAGATTACTTTTGGATTTAACACAGAATCTGATACTATATCTATCTGATAACTAAATAAAACTGATACACTTAGCATATTGCAAAAGTTATATACTAATACAAAGCAAATACAACTCCATTGCACTAATAGACTGTCAAAATGTTCACTGCACAGTTGACGCAGTTGGCGGGGAACCGGCTGTCTTGCAACGTGTCGTGGGGTAGTTTCCCACACAGCCGAACAACACTGATTCTGAACATAAATTGTTATTTCGGGTCTAGGTGTGATGCGTATTTGGATTTGTAAGCTTGCAAACACACCTAGGACATAGTCTCGTATGCCCTAGCGTAGGGCAACAATAACAAAAAAAGCCCTAGCGTAGGGCAACAATAACAAAAAAATAATAATGTAATATTGGTGAGGCTAATAATTAGATTATTCATGACTTTATTAGTTAAATAAAAGTCGGTATAAAAACTTTCCTAGGACACAGGAGAAATTCTTATGTGGGGCAACATTTACTTACAAAAAAATAACATGACTTTATTTTAATGTCTAAAAAAGTTCTCTCTTGTTTTTAGTAAATAAAAGTCAGTATAAAAACTTTAAATACATTTATTTTCTTTTTATTAGGAGGTATCTCCGGTAACACAGACAGCGACCCGGCGCGCTCCGGCAAGCCCGTGGTCGTGATAGACGACTGCCAGTTCCACCAATGCGTGAAGCTCAGCAAGTTTGAGACGGAACACTCCATCTCCTTCATCCCTCCTGATGGCGAATTTGAGCTTATGAGGTGAGATTACGTTTTTCTTTAACAAGTTAAAAAGCCATTTGGGTACTATAATTATATCAATTCAATACAATTCAATTCTTTATATTTTGTTGAATACCAAAACCAGACTCAGACAGTTTATGGTTTTTACAAGCTAAAAAAAGTTTTTATTCCTACAAAAAAAATCTATGTAGGGTATAAGCTATTGTTGTTGTAGATATTGAAATGTATCATTTTGCGTAAAACAACGTATGCGTTGCGTTTTCACTAAATCCTCAAATCACTAATAACCTCCAAAAGGCTGCCAACACTCTTATAACTCCTTTGGACACTCTTCCATGGCGGTACCGATTGCTTATTAGGTGATCTTTCTGCAATTCTGCAATCTGAAATTTTTGTTTAAATTTATACCTACGAAGTCTTTTATGAATATATTAGGCATGCTACAACTCTTAATTAAATAACTTACAGATACCGCACAACCAAGGACATATCCTTGCCTTTCCGTGTAATTCCCTTGGTCCGTGAAGTGGGTCGCACCAAGATGGAAGTAAAAGTGGTATTGAAGAGCAACTTCAAGCCTTCCTTGCTTGGCCAGAAGATCGAGGTCAAGATACCAACTCCGCTGAACACTAGTGGAGTCCAGCTCATTTGTCTGAAAGGGAAAGCGAAGTACAAGGCTTCGGAGAATGCTATTGTTTGGAAGTAAGTATATATTTGAAGCTTTTTGTTATCTGTGTTCAGTCTTAGCAAAGAGTACATTAACATTGAACGACCAATGCGTTGTTGTTGTCCATCCCTTACAATACGGTAGTTTCCAACTAGTCAATTACAATACTTTTATCCAAATGTCAAAAACGATACTTTTCTATGAAATTTGTATGAAACGCTGAGGTATGACGTCATAGTATTTTTGCGTCAAATAGTATACTTATTTACAAAAATTTACTAAATTTAGTGTATTGATCGATCAATGAATAAAAGTATCGTTATTTTTCAATATCTTATTGTATTGAAACGTCGAATTAATTTATTTTTGACCTAGGAAACTAATGAATTTACATTCATTTGTTTTTTTCCAGGATAAAGCGTATGGCTGGTATGAAGGAAACACAGCTGTCTGCTGAGATCGAGCTGCTGGAGACGGATACCAAGAAGAAGTGGACTAGGCCACCAATCTCTATGGGATTCGAGGTGCCCTTCGCACCATCTGGGTTCAAGGTAATAGGCCTAATATAACGTTGTGACTAATCCGTATTTTTAATGAATGAAACCACTTGTATTGTATTGTACTAGCTACTCTCGCGCGGTTTCACTCGCTGCTCGGCTCGATTTGATCGAAGCGTGATGTTTTATAGCCTATAGCACTCAGGAACATTGTAGCTACCTATCAGTGAAAGAAATTTGGCAATCGGACCAGCGGTTCCAAAGATTACCTTTATAAACTTACAAATTTTACCTCTTTATTATAATATTGGTATAGATATACATAGAAAAGATTGCACATTATATCTAAAGGTTTTCTGTTCATTTTTATGGTGTATAATAAAGAGTAAATAAATAAATTAAGTATAAATTTTTACGTGTTTAATTCCAGGTCCGATACTTGAAAGTGTTCGAGCCCAAGCTGAACTACTCCGACCACGATGTGATCAAATGGGTGCGCTACATCGGACGCTCAGGACTCTACGAGACGAGATGCTAAACGAATACTGGTTACAATGTATGTGTTTTTTTTTATAAAAACGTTGCCCTATCTAGGGTTTTCTCTTGTGTCGTGGGTGCGTTTACAAACAAACAAATTCACATACACAAACAGAAATAACAATTTGTGGATCCCACAAAGTGGTGTTCCGTGCGGGAATCGAACCTGCGACACGTTGCACAGCAGCCAGTTGCCCAGCCACAGTCAAACCGTGCATTTGTTTTATATACATATTTATTTATGTGATAAGTCAGCAAATGAGCTAACGAATTACCTGATGGTAAGCAATCAGCGCCGGCCATGAATACACTCAATAACGGAGGAGTTACGAGTGCGTTGCCGACCTTTTGGGAACTAGTAGTAACTTACTTACACGGCGAAACACGATGTTGTGGTTGTTTCACGCCGGCTTTCCGTAAGGCCGTGGTATCACTCCACTTCCAGCCGACACATTCGTGTCAAAACATGGCTTTTCCACTCTTGTTGTTGTTGTTGATGATGATGATGATGGTTGTAAAGATGTCCTTTATCTTTTTCAGGAAATGCACGAGCTAAGTGGTTCAACGGACACAGTAATGGCGTGTTACATAATATATTTTTTTGTATATAATTTCATATGCATCGAGAGATTCCTTCAATGAGTTCTATTTTTTTATTTTCTAATTAATATTTTACTGTCTAATATGTATGCGTATACGTTATCATTAATCGTAATTTTATGTAATACAATTTAATTTGAAAATATTGGTAAAAGACATTATTTAGTCGCGTCATTTCATTATGTTTTAGGAATGATAGACAGAAGGTCACAGTAGTGTCGTATTTTATTATGCAATGCGATTATTATATTCATAAACTTTCTTAATTATTGACCAGTGCCAGTGCAATAATACACTCAATCTTATATGGTACATAAAGAATATTGTGACCCATTTATAACTTGAGATTAACAAACTGACAAAATGTGTTAAAACGGTCAAAGTTTATGGACCTTTTCTGTCTCATATATCCTATAAACAATTAATTTTTATATCAATTAATAATCAAAGTTGAATTAATGTCTCAAATAGGCTGCATTTTTTTATAATTTTATGTTTGTACATTATATTTCTATCGTAGAATCTCATAATCGTATCGTAACATTCGCTTGTAATATTCGCCCTTACCGACAGTTTGTGTGGGGAAGAAATTGTTGAAAATGTAACTCCCCTGGGCGATGTTGATTATTTACTATAAAACGAGATCTGTACCCTTGTTTCCCCTATAATCAAACAATAAGTTAAAATAAATGATCTAAATTCAAGTAACGCCTATAACTATCGAATGAATGAACCTAATTGGATACATCTGTTTTGGGCGTTAGGCAAAAGGGGATTACACATCGGGAAACAGCAACCGGGCGAAGCTTAAGGCAAGCTCATAAAAACTTTATAATTATTCGATAGCTGGACTATTAAATAAAGATCAAAATTGTTTAATTTCTATATGCAATTCTTCCCCACACAAACAGATTACTTAACCATTCCTCGACATGAAGCTTTCGATCGAACATATATGTATATCTAGTAGATATAATACGATAATATATATTCTACTTATAGAATATCACTATAATATAAAAGGTTACGTAATTTTAGGCTATCAATCTATAGTATTAAATGTTAGAATTAGAACGAGGGATTATCTGAAAAAAAAGTATGTAGGACAGAAAATATATGTCTATTTCAATGATTAATCGTTTTTGAGAAATCTGTTATTGAGATTACACATTATATAGGCTAAAACAACGTAAGTAAACTTGTACTACGTTCTCATTCCATTATCAAACTCTTTTTATGTGCCTAACCATGACCAATGTATACCAACTTCAAAGCACATACCAAACAATAATTTTACCAGCTTTTTATTAACTTAAATTCTAGCTAGAATCATCATCGTTATCATTGGCATCGGCAGCTGAACTAAGCTCATTAATTTAGCCATGCTAGACGAAAATTTTTGCCATTTACATCCAATGTTTAATTGCAAATCTGACGATCTCGTGGGTCCAACTATCGAGAGGCTTGCCCATTTAAGTCTGGTTTGATTAGGCTGTAAAGTACTACCTTAATAGTCAAGTTGAATCAACTAAGTATGACAAAAGAAACGCAAGCTACATTGACAAACATAAGGTGGCCTTGATTGGCAGATTGAATTTAAACAGTGTATAAAAGCGGATTATTTCAACATTACTATTCTAAAAGTGTTTGGTATGTGTTTATAATGTTTTGTTAATAATCCCTCTATAATTAGATGTTATGAATGAAAGGCAAAAAATATTGAATTCATAGTTAATATTACTAAAGTTGGTACATATGTTTCGAAATTGTTCAAGTAATCTGGCGTGCAACGAAATTGGTGACTATGAAATTACAATTTTTATGAAAACCAAATTTTTAAATTTAGAATTTGTTCTATATTAAATAAAGTATTATTTAAATCTTCAATAATATTAATGTATAATATTGAATATGATTTTTCATATAGGTTTATATTTTATTATGAGTGCGTCAGTTTTGTTGCACGCCAGTGTTCTATGCGTGCTGTTATAGGGAATGCTTATTATGTATCGTGTTACAAAAACAATGTACAATAAATAGTAAAAAAAATATGTTTGTTTTATTTCAATTAACATTTTAAGCTGTTTCCTCCTCCTAATAAAAAATATCTAAAACTTAGTGCATCGATCGACCGATGAATGAAAGTATAGTTATTTTTCAATATTTTATTGTATGTCGAATGTCGAATTAATTAATTTTTGACCTAAGTCAAAGTCAAGTCAAAGTCAAAACCATTTATTCCAAATAAACCATAAATAGGTACTTTTGAAACGTCAAAATAGAAAAGTAGTCTGCCATTCTGTGAAGTGATGGTGCTCATTCCAAATTGTAGATTCGAATAGATAAGAACGAGAAAGAAAGTACATCGTTACTATTTTAAAAAAAATGTTTTACAATTTGAATAATATAACATTTAGTATACATTATTGTACCCCTATGTGAGAACAATGCAGAGACTACTAGGAACTACCTAATTAATAATAATTCGCTTGCGGTTTGATAAATTAAAAACTACGTAACAGATTTTGATGCGATTTTGAAAGGTGTTTAACAGATCAAATAGAAATTAAATTGAAGATTTAGGTGTATAATAAGCAAAGGTATCGGTCAGCGCAATACAGTACCGTGGCCTCAGCCTGTAGCAGGAGAAGGAACGGGGTAGATATTAGTCAAAAAGAGCCCGAAACTCCCTTCCGACCCGCCCAGAGCGAGCGGGAAGACATTTGATTATTTACCTACCTCAAAAATGGTGTATAATTTATAAGGGTTTGAGGACGAAGTCGCAGGCAGGAAACTGTTTTAGATAGGTACAGTTGAAACCCCGTGGCTCTGGTAGTCTTACGTCCTTGTATCTAATAATCTAACCAATTGCTATTTTACTTAACAAATAAAAAAAATATATTATGAGCGCTTTTTTAGAACCTAACAGTCCTCTTATGAGTTCCATTAAATAGGAGATGAGTTTATTAACATACCAGCGGCTTCGCCCGCGTGCTGTGTTGACAAAAAGCAGTCTATAGCAATAGAACAAAATCGAAGTATATATAAATAAACTAAAAATCGCGGGTTACTCACGTGTATATATTGAGAAAAGCTCTACTAGTTTTCAGCCTAATAGGTTGCGCGACGTCGCCGCGTCCGCGCACGCTGCTCATGAGGAAGAACCCCTCTGTGGTTCGAAACTAGTAGAGCTTTTCTCAATATATACACGTGAGTAACCCGCGATTTTTAGTTACTTTAGTATGTCTCACGATAGTTATTATAAAAATTTTGTTATTAATCGTCTCATTTTATGGGTACAACACCGGTTAAATTTTTATGCATACTTCGATTTTGTTGTAATGCTGCTTTTAATCAACACAGCACGCGGGCGAAGCCGCTGGCGGAAGCTAGTACCCAATATAACTTTACCCGACCCGGGAATAAGTATTTTTTTTTTTGTAAAAAACGTCTCCTATGTCGACAACTTATCAAATATCTACACATGACACACAGACTTGAAGAGTTGTTCCGCGCGGGAATCGTACCTGCGTTACGTTGTAGGCCAGCTGGTTGGACAGCCACCGCACCAATCGTCCAGTCTTGATTTTAAGACACTACAAGCTCGTGTAGCGTAGGTATGTGTAGTAATATGTCGATGTATGGTATATCTGTGTGTGTAATCAATCAATTATATTAATCACGGAGTACTCAATTATAAACGCTCAGGAATAATAAAACCAATTTGTATCAGCCAAAGCTTTTATTATAACTTTTCACAAAGCACTTAAGAACTGTGTCCACCTTGACTGTTCGACCCCGAATGTCCCGCTATCGTGCGCACTACTCCCCACTTAATATCTGTCTTTACCGGAAACCGCATAGAATGATATTTTAAAATAAAATGTAATGATACAACCGGAAGTAGTGCGTACGACGATACCACTTAATATTGATATTAAATAAATAAACATCTTTTAAATATTTGTTATTAGATCTTAAATAAAACGATATAATTTAAACATAATAATTGGTCGAAATAATATTTAACAATGATGTATGAATTCCGGAAGTTCGATTATCAAAGAAAGGGTTCTAACAGTCGGCCTTTCCTGACATATTTCCCGTCTCGGGAAAATTAATTCTCACATAAAGTAATGAAATCAACTATAAAAATATTTCTGCATTTTCTTATTTCTACTTAACTTTTACACAACACTTGAATTATTAAGAATACATCATATTCATAACAATCAACTGGATCGATACTTATTTAACTAGATAAACCACTTAATTTAAGATGTCAAGGCCTCAGACATATCCTTAACACCTGTCTTAGCTGGGACCTCAGACATATTCCCAGATAAGCCACTTAACTCAACTTAAGATGTCAAGGCCTCAGACATATCCTTAACACCTGTCTTACCTGGGACCTCAGACATATTCCCAGATAAGCCACTTAACTCAACTTAAGATGTCAAGGCCTCAGACATATCCTTAACACCTGTCTTACCTGGGACCTCAGACATATTCCCAGATAAGCCACTTAACTCAACTTAAGATGTTAAGGCCTCAGACATATCCTTAACACCTGTCTTACCTGGGACCTCAGACATATTCCCAGATAAGCCACTTAACTCAACTTAAGATGTTAAGGCCTCAGACATATCCTTAACACCTGTCTTACCTGGGACCTCAGACATATTCCCAGATAAGCCACTTAACTCAACTTAAGATGTTAAGGCCTCAGACATATCCTTAACACCTGTCTTACCTGGGACCTCAGACATATTCCCAGATAAGCCACTTAACTCAACTTAAGATGTTAAGGCCTCAGACATATCCTTAACACCTGTCTTACCTGGGACCTCAGGCATATTCCCAGATATAGTCTTAGGATTAAAGTTAATATAATAGTATGTATCACTACCAATCAATCGCACCTAATCTGTGTGGTCATTATCCGACGTCTCAGACTCTGAATCTGATCTATTAAAAACTACCCAGGGGTGGATTTTATCTACTGAAAAGATGCCACTGAATTTTCTATTTCCCTTTTTAGATAACGGCGTATCCTCAATTACGTATCGGTCGTTATCGAGAACCTCGGCTATACGATACGGACCTCGAAGTCTTGGAACTAATTTCCTACTTTGTCCTACTGATGGAATATCCCTTTCAACCCTTACAAGTTCTCCCACATTATAATTAACTTCTTTCCTAGCCTTATCGAAACGTTCTTTTTGTTTCTTTTGATTTTCCTTAACATACCCTGAGATTTCTTGCCTAGTTTCCTCTAACGAGGAGGTTGTACTTTCAATATCGTCCGTAACGTTAAGCTGTAATAATGCATTTGAGGTACTAACTAAATTAAGCCCAAATAGTGCCTGAGCAGGGCTTTTCCCGGTACCCTTATTTAGTGTATTATTAAACCCCCACTGAATTTCTGAAATATGTTCATCCCATTCATTTTCAGGTTTGCCATAATTGGAAGCGGTTAATGCTGCTAAAACACTTCTATTATAACGTTCGACCTGACCATTGGCCCGCGGGGTTGCTACAGCGTTCATGACATGTTTAATCCCTAATGAACTTAAATAATCACGAAAAGCTTTGGAAGTAAATGACGTACCTCTATCAGAAATAACACGTTTTGGAACACTAAATGTATGAAAATAATTTTTCATAGCCTTGATAGAATGGATAGATTTAGTACTTTTAACAGGAACAATTATCATAAACTTCGTGAAAGCATCAACAATCAACAATAAGTATGCATTTTTGTGCTTACTTCGAACAAAGGGACCTAAATGATCAATGTGTATAGT